TATTTTTGAGAGAGACAGAGCATGAGTGGGGGAGGGGCAGAGAGAGAGAGGGAGACACAGAATCCAAAGCAGGCTCCAGGCTCCAAGCTGTCAGCACACAGCCCCAGGCAGGGTTCGAACTCACCAACGGTGAGATCATGACCTGGCCCGAACTCTGACTGACTGAGCCACCCAGGTGCCCCCAAAAATAAAACTTCTTAATACAATGTCCTGAGGAATGTCTCGATGTAGGAGAGTAACCCAGAGAGTACTAGAACCCACTCCAGAAACCTGAACTCCAGGGGAGAGCATAACCTGGGTGTGCCTGAGCCTTGAAGCTACCACAAGGGTACACCTTAAGGGTCTATCAAGGTTGCGTTCAGACTCGAGGCAAATTCTTAGGGACCAAGTATGCATTTGGGGGTTCTGGGGACCACACCCTGAGGCCCCCCCACAGGAAGAACAGCACCTCCTCAGGCTCTGGCCTTCAGTGCTCCACACAGCATTTGGGAGAGGCGGGAACACAGCAGACCGCAGGGAGCTCACGAGCCTGGCTGAGGACGAGAAGGAATGTTGGTGAGAATCGCAATGAAATGGCCACACCCTCCCCCTCAAAAGCACTGGTCCCAAGAGGGTCTGAAGGGACACTGGGTCTTTCTACTGGAATACTGGTCCAACAATCGCCATTAAGACTCAAAACTTCTATTTAACCTGTTAACATACTAACGTCAATTCATGGAGTTACATGGACTAAACCGTGAAGCTACCGGACACCCGCCCCCCTGCCCTTCCCCCCTCTCCCCCCCAGAACTGCTCATACAGACAGCTCAGCATTGGTCACAAACTTTACCTCCCTGCCAGTCTTGTTGATAGGCTTATACTTAATTGCACCTTTCACCTAAGATTTAAAGTAATTTCACAGACCAAGAGATTTGAGGGAAAAATGTGGTTTTATCCTTAGGCAGGTAGATCAAGACGGTATGTAAGAATGTACGTGTGTGCGCGCCTGTGTGTGTGTTGTCTACCAGTACGTATGATGGGTGGATTTCACTCACTCGTTCTCTTGAAAAGAGCAACAATCCAACAATCCACCCCCACCCTCAAATTCAGTCATCACCCTTACACAGCATATGCATCTCCTTCGCGATCCTAAATCAATTCTATTTTTCGGTTTCAGTGAAATAGACTGATCCGGACATTTGTCAAGGGCAGGGTGGCCAGTCATGAAAGCCAACAACAGTGACTTCAAGGTGGTCCAACCAGGAGGCGGTGCACAGGGTCACATCTCTCAATCCCAAAGGCACCACGTTCCTGCTGCATAGGAGTATCTTGCAAAGGTTAACCCTCACCACCAGCAAGCAAGCATTAGAGTCCTCTCAGAGTAGACTGGTCTCTTTAAACTCTCTCCACTATCTGCCTCCAAAGGCGGCTAAGATTACTGTGCTACTTAACCACCACGGGAAGCTTTCCAAAAACCACCCAAACAAGCATACCGCTTTCAGAAGAGCCCTCTAGTTGTGCAGAAGACTTAATAAAACTGACCATGTAAGATAACTGTGTTTATTAAAAATATATTCAGGGAGAAGGAAGTCAGTGCATTTATGCAATTTTACATACACATCTGTAGTTTGAGGTTCCATTATTCCAACAGTTCATATAAATCACTGTTTCAGATAAGAGAAAAAAAAATGCTTTACACAGGAGATCAGCAATTGGTTATAGGTTTGGTAATATGAGCAGGCTTGTTGTAAAAATAAAACCACCTCTTCCATTAGTAAAGAATGTCTCCTTTATGCAGAACAAGTCTTCAGAGTTAAGAACTTTGCTTGCATCAACTTGAAGTTCTTGGAAAACAGCCAATCCTCCATTTTCTAGAAATATAAATGCTATCTTTTGTCTGGAATTCTTTTTCTTTAGAGGTAACAGAGGAAGCATTTTCAGTGATTTGTTACTAGGTTATCCTTACTGGGTATGCCAACTACTGCAACGTCAAACCTAAGACTCGTACAGAGGCATTTCTGAGAATTAGAAATACAGAGCATGACATTTCCAAACAACGAACGTTCTCATTACAGGAGGGGAGATAAAACTGGTCCAAAAACCAAAGCTGAAGATAAAGAAGTCTTTGCTAACGGAGAAGGAACGACGGCACCCGGAATCCCATGTGAGGATCTGGGTTCCGAGTGGATGCTCATGTCTTTGCCCTGCAAGTCCCCTTTCTCAGTTATGCCTTTCCTGGAATAGCAGGGACGTTCCCATTTCCTGGGTTCATAAGCACGGACAGGAATCAGGAGCACAGCCTCGACAGCTGATGAACCAGCCAGAGGGAAGACTAACTTACAATTTGCTGGCAATAATCCTTACTGTGTTAAATCAAGGGTTGGCTCTCATTTCTGGGACATAGACCCTGGGGCCTCTTCCCCCTGCCTCTGGTCTTTCTGCACAGGATGCCCTGGGATTGGAACTCTGGACCAGGAAGTGACTGGTCAGTCAGGTGCTCCCCTCCTTCTCATGCCTGTACCCAACTCAGGAGAACTGCCAAATGCAGAAGAGAGGGGCTTTAGGGATACTCCCTTCTTAACAGAATGCTGAGGTCAAAGAAACTTCCGTTACTACAAATGCAGGAACCAGAGCAGAGCTGAAGCACAGGAAGAGAGAAATCTGTATCCTTACAGTGAGTAGCTGTGTGAAAGTTTCCCACTGGGTTCAGCTAAGGCATCTAGAACTCTCTCCGTGTCTGTTCCTGACTGGACTTCAATTCAATGCCCATTCCAAGATGATGTCTACCTAGAATTCACAATTCACTTTTTGGAGGGGTGGGAGGCGAGGATTACATTTAATTACCTCTTCCTTCCTTTCAGTGAGTTAAAAAAAAAAAAAAAGATGTTCTCATATACAAAAGAAAAAAAAAGGCAGATCAGAGCAGTAACTGTGTAAATGACATCATGAAACAGTCGGTGTTAGCTGTGACTAACCTCTGACTCCGTCTCAGCAAAAATTAAAACAATAAAATCTCAGTCACTACCCAACTGACTCTGTGTATAAAGCATACTTAGAAATCAGTGCTTGCTGGTAGGATTACTAAGCAAATAAATTTAAGGCAAAACCGGAGTAACAAGTAAATGAAATCTACACTTTCTTCCCCATGATGCAAGATTAAGGCCTCTGCCGAGAAATTGCTTTAAAATGGGAAGAGTCTTCCTGCCCCTAATTAACAAGGGATCCCACACATTAATGAGTAAGCTAAAGACTAAAAAGCATTTAAAAAGGTTAACTACTTGACTTTGAAACAATCAACCTCCAGAGTTTGAGTCAAAACCACCAAATGTACTGGTTGACGCTGAATCAATGAGGCCAAATCGGCCAGGGCCACAGCAGATCTGGGTAAAACGTCAAATACACATATTTTAGTATGAAACATTGTTTATACACGTCTCAAATTTAACAGCAGAACCCTTCAATAAAAAAATGAGGAACAAATGCTCATGTTCACACAAAAATCCTTGTGCTTAGGTGGCAAAAAGGTATCAGAACAGTTTTAAAACAAATTGGCTCATTCTTGAACACAAGTTTCACATGATTAAACTGCTCGGCTGCTTTGCGGTCAATGTCAGAACTGCAGAAACACAACTCCCCTTCATGGGAAAGCCGCTCCCTGGTCAGAGCCCCTGCAAGAACCAGGGAAAGACACCCCCTGAGCTCCATCACCCTCAGTCAGGGTCACTGCGAAGGTGGGGGTGGGGGGGGAGACGGACTCCGAATAAGGCCATGTAAGTGTAAAATGACAAAATAATCTAACTAAAAACAAGCCACTATGTTTCTTTTCGGTGGAGGGATGGGAAACAAAGGAGGTTCTATGCCAATTAAGTAAGACTTTGGAACAATCTGCAGAACAAAAGAGAATTGATTTCTCAAAGTTCAATGAAAAAAAAATGAGCTTATCTCTCATTTTTAAAAATGTGCATTATGGAAATCCTCTCAACTTTACGCAACAGGCTTAATTTTGAACCTTAGGAAGGAAGGAACCTCCTCCCATTCTCTTGCCAGATTTTATGCTCTTCAGGTTGAGGTTCTAAATTCTCTCACTGGCAAAATCAGCCATGATGTGAATCATGGAAACGGGACGATTTGCTTGCACTGAAACACGGCCACACAGTGGTGAGTTATGCATACAGTACAGAACTATAACCGAAAAGGTGAAGCAAACTTTATTTATTTTCAGGTAAAAACATTGACCTGATGGATTATTGCAGATTTGAGAAATCAGCACATAAAACAACTGGACAGAGCATTGCTTACAGGTGCTTGTTATCGGTGCCGAAACAAAGGTTGAACAGTTTGTCCTAGTTAGCCCTGGGAGAGGGGGAGGGGAGAGGGGAAAAAAGGCGGCTGTGAACAAAAACTTGAAAACAAGGACAAGGGAGAAAAAGCATTCTTGGACTCCCATCGGGGAAGAAAACTGCTAATTTTGTTTAAAACGTTCCATTGATTCAAAATTCTCTGATCGTGGAATAAGAAAATGCCCGCCAGCCCAAGCTGTAGACTCTTTCCCCGACACAAGAGTGAGTGGGCGTTCCTGGCCTCCCTTCCGGAAGCTGCCGGGGGTGCCAGAATCACCGTGTAAACAGCCCCGCTGGGTCACTGGAAGAAGGCCAGCCGGCCCTTACAGCTGGATGAACGCGAAGCTATGGGGACGGTCTACCGAGCTACAAAGGCTGCCTCGTACTGACGATATGCTTCAAGGAATTTTAAATCCTATATTGAGAGAGAACATGGAACAACAGGAGCCCACGGCTAACGAAGAAGATGTGACAACCGTGAGTGTCGCATACAAAAAAACCACGTGGACCGCAGACATTACAGGACCCGGGCAGGGACCGGGGGATGCACACGGAGCTACCCTACCGCACTGTATTTGTCCAATGCGCGTGAGCTTTCATGTCTGTACTTCTCTGTACAAGAGCGGTCTTTGGAGGAGACAAAACTGCAGACTTAGCTAGATGGACACACACAGCCCAGAATTAAACTGCACAGCGACATTTATTGTTTCAGCCTGGAAAAAACATCCCTTTTTTTTTTTTAAATTTCACACAGCAAAGCAAGTTAAAAACTTCACTCATCAAATAAATGATAATTTAAACAAGAACTTGCTAAAGAAACCTCATCACAACAACGTTTTAGGGCCTGATCACTTTAAGTCCATGGGGCCATGAATGACTATCAACCAAGTGTCTCTTGTATAATCTGCAAGCCATTTTCCTACAACAAGAAGGCGTAACATGTTTCCTTGACTCAGGTGATACATTTAGAAAAGAAATCATGATTTTTTTTTCTTTTGCTGTAACAGGCAGACCCCGCATTTCTTGCTGTGATCAAGAAAGATGGAACGACTGCTGTCCTTCTCTGGCCGCGATCAACAGTTTCTCACGCATGATCTCAATGCTCGAGTAGTCCGGCAACTTAAGATAGTTCACACAAGTCATTACAGAGGGCAGGAAGTCATCCGGGTTTTCTGTCGATTCGAATGTCTTCCGGACAATTGTCAAAGGTGGATTCAAACTCCGGAAGCCTAATCAGAAGGGGAAGGAAGGAAGACCAAGGGAAGTTAGTAAGTTAACAGGACACGCGCAGCTAACTCAGAACTAATTGTTTTCTTAACCAGAAGACAGATCAGTCTGGAAACAAACCTACCCTTTCCATGCTACTACTCTCAGGAAACATGTCACCACACGTGCGAGGTGTTCTTTCTTGCTGGGCAAGGACAGCTACACACGTGATGCACATTTGTGTATGGAACCCGGGATCGGCTTTGTTTGCCAGAAAGGGCCGCTGCAGGGTATGGAGGCCAACAGCTCCTTCTGCTTTTTGGCTTTGAAAGCAGAGTGCCGCTTTGCCTTCTCTTAGGGCTGACTCATGTCTAGAAAAGTAGACTTTACAATGTGTTCTCATCTAAGAGCCTGGGACGTACAGATGGCCAGCGGACCCGAACGTAATCTAGAAAAGTGGCATTACACGTCGTTACCGATCCTACCTCAGTGTGTTCGGGACGAGCCCTATGAACTTCCCTGCCGGCTGAGAGCTCTCACATACTCCGAAACAAATGGAAACTGAGAAATGTAGGTACTAGAGTAACGAAGAGGCACTGTTGGCTCAAATGCAAAATATCCTGCTGGGGGTCCTGAAGTCTCTGTCTGTCTCTCTTGCACACGCACACCCACAGAACAGCGGGCAGGCGCCAAGGGCACACCCACCTCCAACAGGCAGTCTCGGGCTACCGGTCACGAACTGGAGAAATAACCTCTGCTGCTCGTTATCAAAACTACTGAGAATCTCAAACAGGAACTTCACGGCCCGACTACAACAGAAATAAGTCAGCAAAATTATTTCAGCACGTGAACGTGCACCTCTGAATCACACCGCCTCACAGGCTCTCGTGATCGGCTAACCGATCCCATTTCAACAGGACTGCCTAGGAATTCACAGTACAACGTGTTTCAAAGTCATCTTGGTTTTTGTTGTCACAGCTGGAATTCAAAGGGAATAATGAGTGTTGTAACAAGTAAGACTTGTCTGGGAGTGTATGGATATTTCCATTTTACTACAAAGTAAATGGGTAATGGTTTGACCGGTTTCTTCCCCCCCCCCGTCCCTGGTCACTTTCACAGAAATACCTGACAAAGAAATCTTTGCGTCCTAAGGTCTTGATAGAAATGAGGCCAAAATATCAGAAAGCCCCCTTTAAAATGTGTATGGAACCCGGGATCGGCTTTGTTTGCCGGAAAGGGCCGCTGCAGGGTATGGAGGCCAACAGCTCCTTCTGCTTTTTGGCTCTGAAAGCAGAGTGCCGCTTTGCATTCTCTTTTGCACTTGTCATTTTAAAAATGACACCCCCCGTTGTTGTTTATAACGTACACACACACACCCTACCACATTCTTGACCGTAAAAGAATGGAAAGCCCAGCAGATCGGGTACTCACCTGTCATGAGTGTAACCGTGGTCTGGCCTGCAGCACTCCATCAGTGTCTTTGCATCCCAAGTATCTGCTTTACTGCCGCACAAGAGCTGGTCCAGCTGCGTGGTTACACAACGGCAACAAATTACTAAGGACACAGCTGTGAAACGGAGTGAAAACTCACAGGACCTGCTGTTCTGCAGATGCCAATACAGTACAGTATACCAAATCAAAGTACCATTTTCAGTTCTGTGTAGGGACCTCTTTTTTATACAGTGGGCTATCTACTACAGTTACAGATCGGCCTCCTCAGCCTCTTCTGCTGCTGCATTAAAGGCACCCGGCCCATCTACAGGGACTGGGTTCTAGAGAAGACTTTAATCGCAAACACAACACACCTGAGACAAAGCTTTATCTAAGCCTTCCGAACACCTCTCAGGTCTTTAGAGGCTTTAACTCGGTAACCTACATCTCGCCAGGAAGATTTCATAAATCCTGTTTTCTAGAAACCCAAGGGTGCAGGATAACAGAAGCCAAGACACAGACTAGTGGGCTGGAGAGAGAAGTGGGAGAAAGCTGAACTGAGGCACAGCCACTGGGCAGCTTCTTCACTTTGTACAGAGAGGCAGATGGTTGCCAGATGGCCGGCTGGGGCCAGGCAGGGACCAGGCTGGCCGTTTCAGGGGAACACGAGAGAGCAAGAAATGCCTGCGTCTCCTCAGAAAAATCTAACACCAGTTTCGCATGAAGCCTTCTTTTCTCTGGTTAACTGCCCACCTGCAGAATGATGACGTGCTCTGAGAAAATCCAATTCAGGGCACATAACATTTAATACCTACTACGTGTCACTCACTGGCAGGTACTTTATGTGTCCTGTTACATATAAGACACACAGAGGTTTTCCCAATTTTATGGATGAGGCAGTCAGATCAGACAGAACAGCCTAGACAAGGTCATATGGTGAAGGAGGACCAGAATTCCAGGACAACCCTTGCCGCTCTCAATTCCAGGTAACACAGTGCCTCGAAGTGTCGGCTACACCACATGCTTCTGTAAGCAGCAAGTCAGAGTGGGTATAGAAAGCATAACTGAGGTTAAAATGCTACATCTAAGTCATTCAAAAGTATCCGGATTCAGCCAGTAATAAACGTGTAAGGTTATCATTCAAAAGATAGACCAAAAGGATTCCCAACTGGAGAAACCCCACGCCTCGCAGACCCCTTCCGTGCCATCTCTCCACGAGCGAGCCGTGTTCCAGACTGCTGTCGCACTGACGGCGGCTGGAAAACTGCACAGGCGCTCATGTTCCCACGCTTAACGGAATCTGCAACACTTCCTTAAAACTCCAAGAACTGACTCCAATCATAAAACAGTGTCTCATCTAATCCAGGAAGTTTAGGTTAAAAAAAAAAGTGTTCCCTCTTCAGTGTCACTTTGCCAGCCACAGTGCCCCCAAGCCCTGCACCCCATTCTCCATCGGGCAGCATGCAGGGTCGGGTGACAGCGAGGCTGTGCTTACCCAGTCTCCCACACGGACCCCCACTCCAATACTTAAAACTATGTTTAATACGTATACAATATAAAATGTTATTTTATATTACATCATATTACCCTTAGTATTTGATACTCTTCTTGCTCAGGAAATTATCCCCTATTTTTCCCAAACATCCACCCCTCGGCTCACAAACCCACCCCGCCCCCCAATTTTCTCGTTTGCAACCATCTTGGGCTAGGTGGCAGAGACAGCCCGCGACGGTAACACAGGCACACAGTGAACAAGGGGCATTTCTCTCCAACACGAGCTACTCACTTCTTCCGGATAGAAGTACTGGAGATGACTGAGTGGGAAGACAGATTCAAATCCATCTCTGAAGGAATCGAATTGCCTAGAAACGCCTTCATTTAGTGCCCAGAATATAACCAGCTGTAAAAAGAAAGGTCTTTTAAAAACATTGACAAGATTTCATATCTCTTTCCTACCAATGTACTGGGTACAGTGAACACATCCTTCCGGATCACTTTAAAAACAACAGAAAAACCTCACGAATTAAGTCTTTAAAATTATCTCCCCCAAAACCACATAAAGGATCTCTTAGGTCAACTTCTAACTCGGGGCCGGGCCAGTAAGAAAATGTAAAAAAAAATTACAATGAGCATTTATTTTTAGTGTGTTTTAAAAATTCATTTACATAAAACCCTGATGGCACAGAACAGTACCATGCCAGATGTGAAGCAAAGCAAGGTCTCTCAAGAGGATAAAATGTTATTAAGAATTAAAGATAATGTGTCAAGATGCCCAATAACCAACTGTTAAGTGTTCTGAATTTTTAATGTGAAATTTTTATATCTAGATCCTGATTAAGTTCTTAGAATGAATGCTTCTGCAGTGGACCTTCACTTAGAAAAAGGCAAAGTCTGGAAATGTAGTCACGTGAAACTGGAAAGTTAACAGAAAGCATCGGTTACTGGTCCAACAATATCTGGCTCCGGTTAAGACACTGGGTTCAAGAAATACAGGACCTATTCCGACAAAAATAAAAACAACAGCATTTTGTTGAAAGAAAAATACAAGCACTCCTAAAAATTCCTTTCAGAGAACCTTAATCTGGATGTTAACTCATCATTTACCAATAGGCTGAAAGGTTAGCTTTCTCAAAGTTAGGAAAAGCAGCAGCTAGTGTGATCAGACAGTCCTCTGAATATTAAAGAAATGCTTAACAGTCACAGGACTGTTGGGTATGTCAAAAAATATTTGAAGACCTTGCCTATCTACTCACTTTCTCTAAGAGAAAAAGAAACCAGAGTCAACCTTTTTCAGAGGTTCTATCTAAAATCCCCACTATAGTTTAGGGGCGCCCGGGTGGCTTAGTCGGTTAAGTGTCCGACTTTCGCTCAGGTCATGATCTCGCGGTTCGTGGGTTCGAGCCCCGCGTCGGGCTCTGTGCTGACTGCCAGCTCAGAGCCTGGAGCCTGTTTCAGAGTCTGTGACTCCCTCTCTCTCTGACCCTCCCCTGCTCACGCTGTCTCTCTCTCTCTCCTAGAAATAAAAATAAAACATAAAAAAAAAAAAAAACCCACTATAGTTTGGCAGAAAACCCAAGTCTGGGTATAAGTGGTTTTTGATCTTGAATACAATGATCTTTCCACTCAGGGTCAGAAATCGACCAAAAGAAACTTTTCAAAAAGTAGTAATAAAGACCCATATAGGATGGAACTTAAAATACAATCTCTTTTTAACACAAAATTATTTTCCCTTAATTTAATAAATATAGTCAAGGACTATGAATTAATTATCTGAAAGTCCTCATTATTCCCATAAACGTGTGTGTGTGTGTGTGTGTGTGTGAGAGAGAGAGAGAGAGAGAGAGAGAGAGAGAATAATGTCTAGTTTTGCCTTGATAGACAGAATGCAGTTTAATGAGAACACAAGTGATGGCTCCTTTTCACTGATTTGTTTTAAACAAAGACAGTAAGAGGTTTATTAGTATTCAAACTCGAAGAAAGTAAATTCAAGGTCATATATAAGGCTTCATGAAATATCTGACAGGTTTTGTCAAGTGCAGCAGAAATGAGGGCCTGTAAAAGTGGATGTTGTGCAGCGATCTTGTGTGTCAAGGGTCTCAGGCAGAGGGGGGCAGGCTCCTGGGACAGGTGCTTTCGCTCTCTCTCAGAACAGTGCCCACAGAAGTCCTGTCACTACGTTAGCCTTTTCCCCAAAGGGCGCCACGATACGTACTCTTAGATATTCTTCTAAATTGTGGATAGTGACTGGTATATCCTTTCCTCCTTTCTTCAGTTCGATGTTGGGAAACCCTGGCAGAGTGAAATCCAATCCTAGATCTTCAACTGAGCAGCCGTTCATAGTCAGGGTTTCTAATGCATATTGTAGACTCTCTTTGGTCTAAAAAAGGGGATGGGAGATGTCAAGCACAGCAATTCAGTTGCTTACGTGTCTGTGTCTATAAAACAAAATATATACTAATAAATTTTACGGGTTCCTTCAGCTCTTAGAATATTTCTATTTTTGTCATAATCTACACATGACATAGATCACAAAGGATATAATCTTAACCACTTCAGGATCCAACTATTTTCATATGGGGGAAAACAAGATCACTTAAGTGTTCCTTCAAAACGAGATGTCTACTCCTCAATCTGACTGAATTTCAAATCAGATTTCACACAAAGTCTCAATAGTTTAGATGATGGTTAATTTAAGAGTGGCTAACAGGGCCAACTTTTTCCTAAATTCTGTATTAATCTTAATGAATCTATTAGTCTTAACCTATCTAGGTGTGTGTGTACACACACACACACACACACACACACACACCCCTACATATATGTACACACATCAAATACTAATTAATAGTCAGGAAACTGTAAATACAAAGAAAGTACTATCTAGTAATGGTGATTAACATTGTTCCTGCCGCAGAGCTCAGGTCTAGGGAATACCTTGGAGACTTCTCATTCAATCACCTCAGGACTAGTGTAACAGACCTATAGCCACACAGTAATGCTGCAATTAAGAAAAGTTCCAACAAAGTCCTCAAGTCCTACTCTGAAGATGAATTTAAAAAAAACAATTTGTATCATTCACTTTGTTCAATGCTTAAGAATATGAAAGGCTTATATAAAAAAAAATTTTAGATTAGAAATCAAAGACCAACATGCAAAACTGCAAATACTGTCTGAAAATAAAGGTGTCCGGCGGAGAAAGGGGCCAAGTGACTTTCTAAGTTGGAGAGATCTCTAGGTATGAAATTCCTGACAGCTAAACAGTCTAGGTGCAAGAAATTAGTCATTTAAACTAAAAAAAGGTAGGAAGTTCTGATTTAAAATTAGTCATTTTTAGAAATACTCATTTAAACTTAGTCATTTTTTAATTTTTCTTAAAAAAATGTTTATTTATTTTGAGAGAGCATGCACACACACTGATGAAGCCACCCGGGCATTTTTAAAACGAGTCACCTTTAATAAGGGAAATAAATAAAGGCTGCTTAGGATTCCACAGGTTTCAGAACGCAGAAGGGGCAGCAGCCTGAAGCCTAAGGTATAACGTGCCTGAGGACTACGGCCGTGCAGCCTCATCTGTCAAAGCCCGTGTTTCCGTCTGTCCTCCTCTGGTGCACATTTGAGGTCACCTGATCGAAGGCCTTTCATTTTACATTTGAAATATTCTTCAATCACTATCATCTATTTTAATGTTCTCCCACTGGAAAGCTCTCCAAACTGTCCCCCACCTCTTGCACAGATCCCGGTGGTCACTGTTATGCTAATGGCAGATCTCTCCTCCCACAGCCACACTTAAAACCATCTTATTTATAAAGGTTTGCATCATAAAACGCCATCATTGAGGCACCTGCGTGGCTCAGTTGGTTAAGTGTCTGACTCTTGATTTCGTCTCAGGTCATGATCTCATGGTTCATGGGATGAGCCCGTGGACAGTGAGGAGCCTGCTTGGGATTCTATCTGTCCCTCTCTGCCTCTTCCCTGCTCACTCTCGTTCTCTCTCAAAACAAATGCTATCATTGAGAGGAATCTAGAATATACAGTGTCCTCGAGATGTTTTAAAAGAAATTCACTATTCATTTTTCAGGCCTTTCATTAAATCCTATTTCCCATGTAACTTTCGAGACTTTAAACTACCAAGTTTGCTCCATCAGTGTACTTTAAAAACGATGAGGGGAGGGTTTGGAACCCACGCCATTCTTCACGTGCTGGATGAAAGTCGGTTAATACAGTAAATCAGTTTTTGGAGTCTGGTTTCTGTGCTATGCATTTTATACTTTTAAATTGACATCAAAAATAAAGATCAGATAAAGATTAGAAGAACAAATTACAAAAGATTTCAGGAAGAAAACCAGGTGGCATACTGCAAAATGTTAAGAGTGAAGGCTCCAGGGAAAGGCTGGGGTGTGAACTCTAGCCCTGCCCCCATTTCTAGGCATGCGACCTCGGCAGGTTACTCAGGCCGTCTGCCCTGGGTTTCTCGTATGTAAAACAGGATACCAGAAAGACCTAAATCTCTGAAGGGGGGTTGCGGAGGAAATGAATTAAGATACATATGGCACTTAGAACAGTGCCGTGAGTTTTACTTACTTTCTTTCCTTTTATTTATTTATTTATGGCCGTTATTTATCCAAAAGCTGATCCTAAATAAGACTATTAGTTGTTATTAAAATTTCAAAGTTGGTAAGCATAAATCTGACTCCAAAAATCCTAAGACAACAAATTGTACACGGAAAAGATGGACTTGGCCTCTTTTAAATGCCAATTTCTCTCAATAAACAAACATTTCCCCCAAATCACCAATTAATAATGAAGATAAAATTCCCTTACAAATCATTTTCTTCTCTGATAACAAGGCCTTCTAAAACCCATCTACAGTCTACAGTAAGCTCTTCTCCTGCTTATCAAGAGATGTGACACTTTCCCTAGAGAATCTTCCCTCCTCTTACTTTACATAATTTGTAAAGTGGGAGTTGCTTTAAAATGGGGCCACGTTATGTGCCCAGACACAGCTATCTGAATCCGTGCCATTTTTTTTTTAAAATACAACTTTGTCCTCTTCTAATGTCTGACACAGAACCACTATTAGTCTCAGGCTGGGTAAATAATCTTTAATCCGTCATCAATATATAAAGAATACACATTCATGACATAAAGTGCAAGATGACTCATTCTAATAGAGAAGAAGCCTCAGTGGAGAAGGTGCTACCGAGAAATAGTGAACACCTGCAATGACCTTTAAAATTATTTTCCTAAGATCTTTCTAGAAACAGATGGACTGTTACTAAATAAAGCCACCTTTCCAGAAAAACAATCTATCCTGAGAATAATTTTATTGATTCAAACGCTTACTAAAAGAACTCAGGGACACCTGGGTGGCTCAGTCAGTTAAACATCTGCCTCTTGATTTCAGCTCAGATCATGATATCGTGGTTTCGTGAGAGAACCCCGTGTTGGGCTCTGCGCACTGACCACACAAAGCCTGCTTGAGATTCTCCCTTTCTCCTCCCTCTCTGCCCCACCCCCACTCCCATTCAGTCTCTCTCAAGATAAATACTTAGAGAGAGAGAGAGAGAGAGAATTCAGTATGATACAGTACCTGCCCAGGTACATAAAGCCTATCTAAAATTTAATAAACAAGAGCCCTATGGTTTCAAGTAAGGAGTGTATTTTATTTGTTAATCAAGCTGCTTATTTATCACCTGCTGTTATTATACGTCATCTTACCCACTGTGAAACCTTTTCAGTTATTCTAATAAAAAAAATAAAACTCTAAAATACAACATTAATATAAAATATTAACTGGGCCAAATATAAACCACTTAACAAAGACCTCATCCTGTAAGAAAGTGAATCACTTGACCACTTCCTTATCTTCTAAGCTTACCTGGGATTTATCTTGTTCAAGTCTTTTCTTCTGTCTGACAATGTCTTCTAGGTGGTACACTGATCTGGCTACAACTGGGTCGATGTCAAACAAATCGTGCGATGTCAGTGAAGTTTCTTGCCGTAGCATCCACTTATAAAAGGGTAAGCCAAGGGGAAGGTCCACCTGAAAGGGAATATACAAAAAAATAAAACAGTCACACTAAGCTTCTAGATTGTCTGAGTTTTATAACTGATACTTTAAGAGGTCATTTATAAAGGATGAGTAATACCCTCACCCCACCAAATAAAGCCCCCATATTTTGGAACAGTTTCTCTCTCTACACACAACTGTTCCCATTTAAACTCAATTTGGGGCCCTGATACTGTGAAAAACTTAGTACACTGAAGAATTCTATTTAAAACAAATTGACCCTAAGGGGCGCCTGGGTGGCTTAATCGGTTAAGCGTCCGACTTTTGCTTAGGTCATGATCTCGCAGTTTGTGGGCTCGGGCCCCGCGTCGGGCTCTGTGCTGACTGCCAGCTCAGAGCCTGGAGCCTGTTTCAGAGTCTGTGACTCCCTCTCTCTCTGACCCACCCCTGCTCACGCTGTCTCACTGTCTCTCTCTCTCTCTCTCTACCCCCTAGAAATAAATAAAACATTAAAAAAAAAAATTGACCCTAAAAAGGTACCTTTCAATGATGGGACATATATTCTCCATTAAAGCCGCAAACTAAGATGTTTATAGGAATCTTACTCTATTTGGGGTGGAGTAAACTAAATTCCACTGTAGTTTGTATTACTGCACATTTGGAAAAAAAGAGGTGGAAAGGAAGGACCAACTAATTAAAACTGAAAAAGTGTAACTTTTAAAGAAACTCAGGGTAGCTGGGCAGTTCAGTTAAGTGTCTGACTCTTGATTTCGGCTCAGATCATGATCTCACGGTTTGGGAGTTCAAGTCCTGCATTGGACTCTGCACATCTGAAAAGCCTGCTTGGGATTTTCTATCTCCTTCTCTCTCTGCCCCTCCCCGGCTCCATGCACACATACGTATTCTCTCTCCCCAAATAAATCAAAACATTAAAATTTTCAAAAAATAAAATACAGCATTAAGTGCAAGGGGTTAAAGTTACTTTCATACTACAGGTACAAAAGCGTCGACAAGCAAATAATCCTAAACTTACCAATCTGAAATCCATGATAGCCTTGGCCATTAATTTGCCTAAGAAGCGAAACTTCATCTTAACCTTTGCGATATGAGCGGGCTTAGCCGTCCTACCAAAGGGAAGCGCAAACAGGCCCTGGAGGTTTTGAATATACTTGGTCCCTTCTTGGCTTCCTATAAAATGAGCAAGTCATGAAACTTTAGATGCTACTTCCCAGAACAAAACAAGACAAAACGTGGTAACTAAGAACACTTAAGAAATGCAGTCTTCTCAAAATCAGAAGGCAGATCACAGAATGAAGACCTCTAGAGCTGGAGGGCTCTCTCTTATTTGACGACAGAGAAAACAAAGGCTAAAAAGGAATCAAGGTCAGAGAGCGTGGGAGTTTACCAGAAGTTAAATACATTTAATGAATTGTAATGGCCCTTTTAGCCGATGTGAAAACCCTAAACTGACTCAAACGGACAGTACCTTTTGGATTGCTGAGAGTCACCTCTTCACCTCTCCAGAGACCCAAGTCAGCTCTCTGTAGTTCCTGAGATACAAGTGCATAAAACTCCAGTGTAGGCCCAAGACCTGTACCAACCTACAGGAGAACAAAAATAGAGCCATTTCAAACTTCAGATCTTACGCTGCCTTTTAAAACGGCCAGCCTTTGTGCAACTCAGATGCCAACAGCAACTATTTATCGGACGCGTTACTGCCCGGACTGTCCCGTCTTCCCTCTGTCTTGGTCACCCGGAACAAGAACCAGCAGCCCCGTACCCCCTTTCTCCCCAGAACCCCAATGCTATCACAGCAAGGATCCAACTTATACACGGGTATCAGTGCCACTACAGCTGTCCCTTCCCCGGGGAGTAAGATGGCTTTGTCTGAGTACGGATCTCTTTCCAGAGCTCTTTGCCTGAAACCAGGTCACATGTCATCCCCTCAGGAGAAGCATCCTTTTCTGCCCACTTGCTCTGCTCCTTTTATCTTTTTTAAGGACTTCTAGTTCACCTACTTAAGTGTTTATCACATCACAGCACTGCAATTTCATTATGTGCTTGCGTTTCTCACTCAAGGATAACTTTAATTCACCTTTGTACCTTCAGTGGTGCCTAGGCACACACCAGCCATTTACCAGAGGTTTGTTGAACAAACCAGGAACAAGGGAAGGTCAGAACTCATGCCAACATGCACCCATGGGGCTAACTTAGCTTCAGAGCCTCACGGTGCACTAGGAACTCCGCGGAGCTTTATCAGTATGTATACGGGATGGTGAGCAGGCCCTGAAGATTCTCGACTGACATGTCTGATTTTTGAGCTTGGGCCAGTTCCAAAGTGACTCTATAGCCTTGAATGGAAACCCCTCCTCCATGAGAAATATCCTGTGTCCATGTTCATAGTCTGGTTATTCCTTCATATTTCAAGGTCCTGCCAGCTCAGACCATAAATGAGATATTCAGCTAATTACAAGTTAATATCATAGTTTATATGCTGCATTTAACCATAATCCTGGTGAAGAAAACTAGAGTTCCCTCCATAAGATCACCTGTAAATAACAGGCATTATTTTACTTTTAAAAAGTACCCACGCGGGGTGCCTGGGTGGCTCAGTCGGTTAAGCGTCCGACTTCGGCTCAGGTCATGATGTCGCAGTTCGTGGGTTCGAGCCCCGCATCTGGTTCTGTGCTGGCAGCTCAGAGCCTGGAGCCTGTTTCCTCTCTGCCCCTTTCCTGCTCATGTTCTGTCTCTGTCTCAAAAATAAATAAACTATTAAAAAAAAAAGTACCCATGCTGGTTCAAATGTAAGATATAATCCACCAAATGTTTCAGTCTGGAACTCTGCAAACAGTGATCTATCGGGTTGGATGTGGTGGCACCTTCAGGATCCATTTCCATCCCTTCGTTAGTGTTCCACAGCAGTAAATGGCACCTTCATTCACCCCAGATGCCAACAAAACCTTGGCTCTTCTCTTTTTCACTCTCCACATTCCAACCCATCATTAAATACCATAAGCCCCACCTTCACAATATATTCTAAGCCGGTCACTGCCATCGCTCCTCATCTGGTCTACTGCGAGCCCTCCTCCATGGTCTCTGTCTGCACCAGCAAGCTCTGCATCTCCTAGGCTCACAGTGCCGACAGAGGCCTCCCATCTCATGTAAAGCAAAGGCTCAAGTTCTTCCAAGTGTGTCCTCTGTGACCCCTCTCACAGCTGGACTCCCGACTTCCAGCCAGTCATTCCACAACAGGCCAGGAATCTGTCGCAGGGCTTTTGCTTCTTGGTTCTTTCGCTAGAGACACCCTTCCCTAAATGGTAATGACTCACCTCTGCTCCATTGCCCTCTTAGCCACCCTCTCCCTTCCCCATCATGATCCATCTCATTTTGATTTTTCTTCATCTTGTGGCCTAACATATACGTATGAAGAAGATTGTGTGTGCTGGCTTTCCCAAACTGAAAAAAGTTCTGTGATGGTAGGAATTTTGTTTGCTTTGTTCTTCGCTAAATACTGGGTAGTGGAAGAGAGGAAGAGAGGGAAAGAAGAGAAGCAGAGGAAAAGAAAAAACTGCAGTAACATCTGATATCCACCAGAGGGCGGGTTAGAGTCACTTAACTTTTTCTCCCTTCAGCGTAATTATTCCTAGGCTAAATAGAAATCACAAATCAGATCAGATCAACTTCCTTCATCCAAATAATAGTTATTTCTAAAGGTAAAACAGACTTAAAATATTAAGTGGCGCGGGTATCACTGTAAACCCGTCACCACCGCAAATCTCTGTGAGGGTGAAAGGAGCAGGTCAAAGCTGAGAGCTCTGGCAATTCGCCCCAAGCCCTGCGCTGGCCAGCGGCGCTGCTGTATGTCAGCCTGATCTTTTCGGGCATCTCTGTTCCACTCAGCCACTCCAGTAAAAAGGTAGGGAATTTGGTTTTACTTCATTTGCTTTTAAAGGAAAGAAAAGCATAAAGCTCTAGAAATAAAAACAAAGAAAAACAAGTTTTGACAACATCTCTAACTCAAATCACTGCAAATCTTTTTCTTTCAAAAGCTAACCCTTATGTGCCAGCACTTACCACGTGCCACTCTTCTGAGTGTTTTTCACATCTTAGCTCATTTTAGTAATTCTAACAAGATGAAAAAGGTCCAGGTCTTACGGCCTGTTGAGGCATCACCGAGGAGTTTACATAATGGTGCCCAGCGTCACGGTCAGTCAATGCTGGTGCCAGGCTCCACAGTCCATGCTCCTAATGGTTCTCCACCCCCAGAGGCTGGTCATTTGTAGCCCCAGCCAATCCTGAGGCTTGAAGACGCTCTGAGCCCAGAGATCAGTTTTGTTCTTCCCTGGCTTACCAATCATCTCTTGTTCAGGTAGGGCCCATTTTGATTTGACACTGTGAATTAGGATTCTTCAAGAGCTACTCTGAAGTTCCTATTTAATATGACCTGAGGCCCTTTGTATGTAAAAAGCCAGTACTCCTCCCAATCCGTCCCCATTGAAGTCAGCTCCCAGAATCTTTTCCAGAATCGGTAGGTAGGGCCCATCAATGAAGATTATAAACTCATGATTTCTGTATCAGTAATTCATTCCTGATGACCTCAGAATAATCAATGTGATGTGGCTCTGAACTTCTGTAGGCTCCACGTAAGATGCAATTTGAAGAGAGCAATGAAGGATGAGAGAAGAAAGGAAAGACATTCCTAGCAAGAAAACTGTATTTTGGAGTAAAAAAGTAGAAACCATGTTAAAATAAGCTCAGTTAAAAAAGTCAGAGTGGGAGCAGAGGTCTTGCAGTTTTATGAAGAAGAAATTTGGGCACATAAACATCTAAAAACTATATCCTTCGAGCAACTGGTCCAACCACTTTGGAATCAAAAACAGATCCCAATTTCTTATCCCGGCATGCAAGGCCTCCCCTCAACCTCCCTTTGCTCTGGCACTTCTGGAGCAGTTACTCACTTCTGCCACTCACCACCAAGCCCAATCCTTTGCTCAAGCCACGGAATTTTTGGTCCCTTAATTCTCCCACTCTCTTCCATGAAGGTTTAACTCTATGGCCCATTGGCCCTCATGGCTCTGCCCACACACTCCCAGGACAGCTGCATCTGTGTGAACGCCTCGTTCTCCGGACACCTCTACCACTCACTGGCCACACACCTTTGTCCTGTGACTTCCCAACTACATGGTCATCCTCTGACCATAGGAAACTCTGCCATAACCTGGATCACTAGCACACTGGTACACCTCCAGTACACAAGTACTTCAAGTTTTAACTTTGATGACCGAATTCTCTCAAATTAGCTTTTCAAAAGCCTTGAGGTGAAGATGAAAATACCTAAGAAAATGATGAAAATTCAAAGTCATAGTTAGAATTACTTGGATTACTATAGGTCATATCGTAGAGTGTTAAAGATTTTGCTATAAACCACATTCTATAGAGAAGAAAACTGAGAGGCAGAGATTGGCTATTAGAAATAATTGGTGTAACAGAAGGCTTGAAAATTCTATGTCTGTAAGAGTTTCAGAAGACCAAAAATTCTTAAATTTCGTCTTAAAACGATTTAGGGGAAAGAGGGAAGAAAGTATCCCCAAGGGACTCTGTATTTCATAATACAAAGAGAGAGAAAATAAATATTTGAATATGCTGATGTACTGTCCTGGCTGTTTAAAAGCATCTCAAAAGAAATAAATGACAAAGATTAGGAAGGAAGTAAAACTGTCTTCTTTCACAGCCGACATGACTGTCTAACAACACAGGTCAGCAAACTATAGCTCTGGCCCACTTCCTGTTATTTTTGTACCATCTGCAAGGTAAGAATCGTTTTTTACAATTTGAATGGTTGAAAAAAATCTTGAATAGTATTTCACAATATGTGAAAATTCTATGAACTACAAACTTCACTGACAATAAAATTTTACTGGAACACGGCCAGGCACATTTGTATATGTACTATCTACAGCTGTGTTCATGCTTGTACAAAGGCGAAACTGAGCAGCGGTAGTGGGAGTCTGAGGGGCCCCACCTGAATATTTACTATCTGGCCCTTTACAGAAAAGTTTCCCAAGCCCTGGAATCCTAAGTGATCCATTAAAAAGTCATTAAAACTAATAATTAAGTTTTAACAAGGTCAAAATCCGAGGGTCAGGGGGAAATTTCCTGGGGTATATAAAAAGCACAAACCAAAAAAAAAAAAAAAAAGGATAAACTAGATTTTAGCACAACTAAAACCTTCTGCTCTTCCAAAGACCTTTCACGGGGAAACTGAAAGATGAAGCACAGACTGGAAGAAAATATCTGCAAACAGCTATCACATGAAGAACTTGTATCCAAAGTAATAAAAACTCTCGACAGTTTAATCATAAAACCCAATGATGAAAAAGTGGACAGAATGCTTGAACACTTCTCCAGAAAACATACATGAATGGCCAATGAAACGAATGGGAATGAAAATATCATTATCATCAGAAAAATGCAAATACAACACATGAAGATATCATTACAAACCCACCAAAATACCCCAAATTAAAAAGATGGTACTCAAGGGTTGGTGAGCACGTGAAGCAACTGAAACTCACGCGCCCCATCACTGGTAGGAATGGAAAATGGCAAAGCTACTTTGGGAAACAGTTTGGTGTTTCTCATCAAGTAAAAACATGTCTTACTAAATAACTTCGCAATTCATCCCTGAACTATTCACCCAAGAGAAAGAAAAACCTAGGTCTATAAAGTCTCATACACAAATGTTCATAGCGGCCTTAGGGGAAACTAGGGGCACCTGGGTGGCTTAGTCAGTTGAGTGCCTGATATGATTCCGGCTGAAGTCACGATCTCATGATTTGTTGAGTTCGAACCCTGCATCAGGCTCTGTGTGGGCGGTGCAGAGCCTGACTGGGATTCTCTCTCTTCCTCTTTCTCTGCCCCTGCCCCACCCGTGCATGTTTGCTCTAAGATAAACTTTTAAAAAAAAAAAAAGAAAGAAAAAAAACTGGAAACTAAAAAGTGTATCGCCTAGTGAGTAAACATTTTGGGAGATATCCATACAGCAGACACTTAGTATTAATGATAAAAGGAATCAAACTGATCTATGCAACAACAGGATGAATCTGAAAAGCAAACACTAAGTGCTAAAGAGTGACACAAACGGCTATATACCTAGATTACACTTCCTACTGCACTATGAGAAAGACAAAACTACAGGACAGAAAACAGACCAATGGCTGCCTGGGAATGGGGGTGGGGTGTGGACATGTGGACATGAGAATTTGTACAATTAGACCTGTGCGTATTCTACACGTACCCCGCGTGTCTGGGGGAATTTCCCCACTCTGTCACTGCTGCCCTGCGGGGACATCACATAAGTCCATGGTGTAGGCTACCTATGGTCATATTCAGCAAATGCTTAGGCTCTATGCATTTATTACACAAGTCATCTATCTCGGTAACCGTGCATTTATTATAAAGCAGTTCAAACATTCTGAAAGGTATGGTTTAAAACACTCTTCCACTTCACCAACTTAACAACTGCACAGACATTTGTTCTCATGCAAGAGAAAAAAAAAAAACCAAAACTCTCTCTAAATAGACAACTTTGGAAAATGGAGAGCTTAGATCATCTAAGAGAAAACAGAGCCAATCTCGTTTCTAGATAAATTTCCCGACTGTCTTTTAGAATTTGAGAGGACCAACGAACTCTTCCTGAGGGCACAAGTGTAGCTGAAAAGCACCAACACTCATAAGCTCACCTCATTTTCATACTGGATTTCTAACATGGCCCGGGAGCTCCCCAGATCCTGCATCACAGACTCGGCCTGTTTCAGCAGCTCCTCTCTGTTCACAGTACGCTAAAAAAAAAAAGAAAGTACAAGGGTGAAGAAACTATGCGCACATCACACTTTAATAAACAGGTGGCATTTATCGAAGTGCGCCAAAAAAAAAAAAAAAAGAGTTGTTAAAACTATTTCTTTAGAAGTATGCCTCGGAAAAGGTTAACAGAAGTGGCTGCACTGCTACAGATACCCCGCAAAGCTAGATGGGAAGTGCCAGTGTCCCCTCGAGCCCACAACACATTCAGAAAATCCAAGGTGGCAAAGAAGGATCTCTGTGACCCTGCCAGACACCAGTGCAAGTAAGTTAGAGCTGCAGCTGCATGACCCCCCCCCCCCCAAACCGGGGCGTGTGTACAGTCACGTAAAGGAGAAACCGGTATGGGGGTGGCTGGTGAGACAGGTGAGCTGAAAGCTCCTGGCTCCGACCTGCAGAGACCCTACAGGCCCAGCTACAAACATCTACTCGGGAGGTTCCTGGGAACAAGACAGGTCCTGCTAGGTTTCCAATCCCAGCAACACCACTGTTCATTCCGTTCTAATGATACAAGTAAAGACAGAAAGAGCAAGGCTTTAAGAAAGAAAAAAAAAAGTACTTTTTTCTTGTTGCCTCTCATTCCTTCTAACCCCTCTTTTAATGTCACTACTAATGGCTCTCATGAGTCTTGGAGTGAAAGGTTTTGGAAAAGACAGTCTTGAGTAAGAATCCTCAGCACAAAAAAGGAAGGTTAACAGAGAACTCGTAAGTAAAAGGCAGTGCAGGGTCAGAGACGTCGACTGGGGTCTCTGCCGGAATGGCTCAGAGCAGTGAGGTCGGATCTACGAATGTGGAGCCAAGATGAGAAGCCCAGGAAAATGAGATCAGCAGCACAAGCACTTGAGCTGGAAATTACACCAAGAATCCGGTTTCAGTCATTTCTGATCGGACTGATTTGTGAAGGGAAGAAAGTTAATTCTACCTACTACATAAAACATCAATTATAAAAGGGAAGCTACAGTTTGAGGTCCTAACTTAAAAAAAAAAAAGTGGCATCAGTAAGAGAAGACAAGACTCTCTGTTGACACAAGAGAAAAAACAACTGCAGAAATTATTTCAGAAACCGGAAGAAGGGACTCTTGAAGAATCACAAAGAGCCCAGTTCCAAGAGCTTGAGAGGAAAACATGGCTAATCCAGGTGATAAAACAGACAAGCCAAGAGAGGGCTGTGACTGAGCTACAGCCCTGGCCCAATAGGCATGTTCAGATGCACCACATTTCTGGTTTTCCCATTACTTTCAAAAGCACACTTTGATTTACCTTTAAATATTTGAGAAGAGAAACTTACTTTTTTTCTATCCAATCTAGGTGCAACTCTGCTATCTTGAGAATCAGACTGGTTGATCTCTGGGTTGGTATCAAGTAATCTTTGCATTGCTCGATCCCGATCAAATGCAGTTACATAAAAAAGCATTTGTCGGGTATCAAAAGGGAAGAAAAATGGGCTGTAAAAAGATGTGATATAGATTATCTGCATTAGAATCAGAAACCATACAAACCCCTGTATTAGAAACAAGTTTTAATAGGATACAGAATAAATATAACCAATAAAAATGGTCTAGGCAAACTAACTTTGAAGAATTTTCATAATCCTTTTATGAAATGCCTATAAGTGATTAAGTAATAACATATTAAGAATTTTTTTCCTGTGAAATCTGAACTTCAACTATTAAAATCAGGTCTATTCAAGATTATCTTTGAGTTACCCAAAGACCTTCAGGAAATGTAACATGACTAGAGAAATTTTAGATTTAAAATATAGTTTTAAGTCTCCTCACCGCACTTTGCTGCCACCCCAGCCCCACACCACGTACACAGAGATAAGAGATGACGGCTGTACTGGTTCATGGTTCTCCTCTCAGCTTTGGCACTTTGAAGTCACTCAAACCTGCCAAACGGCCAAGCTGATTTCCAAAGAATGAACCTGGCAGTAATAGAGCTTCTATTGCCTCCTGATGTAGGATTTTGGGAGTTCTTGACACAGAGCTGCTAAAAGTACTTCCTCTGATGACCCCAATATTCAACATTTGTTCTGTCCAATACAGGTAGCCACATAAAGGCATGGCTAGTGTGACTAAAAATTTCTAATTTACTTAATTTTAATTGATCGAAATGTAAACAGCTGTGTGTAGCTACTGACTAATGAATGGTGCAATTTTATGGTCTCTGAGAATATATGTCTGGATCCAAACGGGCACAGATAATCAACCAACTATACCTTTGGAGTCCAATTCTGTAATGGCAGAGGATTTTAACCTCCTTAATATCCTTGTGTATTTCATACATACAGACACATACTGCCACGAAGTTCCCCTAAGAGCCCCAGCTAGCCTCCTCTGGATGCTAGAGCTATACTACATACTCAGCAAGTTGTCATCAAATATGAAAATGTTACTTAAACACATTTAAACAGCTTCATCAAAGACTATGTTTTTTGTGACGAAATGTATAAAGACCAACACAACGATAACACTCCCAAAGCCACCATTACAGAAATGATCATCTTACCAGGTTTTTCCTAGCTCAGTCAGCCACGTTGGGATGTTTCCTGTCATGATCACTAGAGGATCCTGAAGCTGCCTATTTGCTTTTGCTGTCAACTTACTGTTAATAAATTCACTAGTTGGAATAATTTCCTTGCACATTGCATTCTGTAAAATGTTAAAAAGACAACAAAAAGGTCTATATGTGGTAAAACATTAGGATTGTATTTACTAACTCTTTCTTTGCCTCCAAATAGGTACCCAGAGGGCCTGGATTTCAGCTGGTTCCCAACATACAATACACAGCCTTCCAGTGGAGTGTCCCAACCTAAAGGACAACTTGTACAACACACTCGTACTGTCCTGATCGCTGAGGCAGCAGCTAATGCTCATGCGAGGCCAATTCCTTCATTCTGTTTTATATTATATAAATATTAAAGGCAGTACATAACTTTCACTTCATTTTTTACTTTATATTTTAACTTACACATATCAACTTTTGCTTAATCAGAGAAAGAATTTTAACTATGGAAATTCACATTCATATTTCTTCTTGCAGCCTAACTTAATAAAGTTAGAACTAAAAGAGCATTAATTCGAGAATGTAGGCCAGCAACAAAAAGTTGGGGAGAGGTGCCTGGGTGGCTCGGTTGAGCTTCTGACTTCAGCTCGGGTCATGGTCTCACAGTTCTTGAGTTCAAGCCCCACAGAGGACTCAACTGCTGTCACTGTGGAGCCTGCTACAGCTCCTCTGTACTCCCCATCCCTGGTCTGTCCCAGCTTGTACTCTCCCTCAAAAATAGTAATTAAATGAACGAACAAAAAAAAAGTAGGGGAGGAACTCCCACTGTGAGTAAATTGTATTTCTCTGGGCTACGATCCCTGCAGTTAACTGAATCATTATTTCTGTTTTCTAGTACAACAGAAACTCATCAACTACTAGACAGAAACTACGGGTAACGTGCCATGAACAGTACAGCATGGGCAACTTCATCGGCAGACCCCATTACTCACATCATACAAGTAATACCAGTATCGACTGATGGCGTGTAAAACTCTTAAAAGAAGAATCACATCTAACGATGGGTCTTCAAAAGTTATATTTTCAGGTGGCGTGGATATGAGGTAAACTTCTAAAGGATTCGACACCGATGGGCACACTCCATCTAGAGGGCAAAAGATCAAGTTAAGTTTGATCAAAGCTACCAAGGCTACCCCAGTGGCACTGGTGTCATCTGATCACGCCTAAAATAGGAAGCACAAGCCGTGATGACGTAATGTCTCGTATTTTATCAGGGTACTGACAGCCTGAACGCTTTTTCCCTTTTATATTATACAAAAATCATCCAGGCTTATGAGAATTTCGCCTTCCTCCCATATCCAAATAAACACGGGAATGGAGAAATACTGACTGACTCATCTGCAATTTCCTCTTCCAACAGAAACAACAGCTAATAATAAAATGGCCAGGAAAGAATAAAGATAAAATGTATAAATTTAAATTCATAAATATAAATTTCTTGGATTTTTAATTTTTATATCCAGCTTGAAATGACCATGTAAAATAGACAAAGACTGCCAACTGTCAATCTGTGAGAGATCTGGTTATTTAATTCAAGGATCAGGATAGAACAGACTGTGATAATTTCTGAGCAGATCTAGGATGCTTTTCTTCTTAGGTTTTACTAAGTAGTAGCATGGTCAGGAAGGGTGGGTGTGGACTGTTGGCATTTACTTTGTTACCATATACCGGAATTAAAACCACACACAACACTATTACTATAGAAAACAAAGGGCAATTTTAACACCAAAATACAGAAACAAAAATCTCAAAATATAAACCCTTTAAAAAGAACATAGTTATGGGGGAGGGAGTGGGTGTAAGAACAACAACAAACTCAAAAAATATTTGTCATAATGTTCTTATTTCGGACAACCAGAAAAAACTTCAGCAATTGACACAACTTAGTCTGGAAATCCCTGAGAGGGGTGGCCTCCATGCTATGATCTGCAGCCAGTGCCCTGAAGCACTGCTACTGCCCCAGAAAAATGGGGGGCGGAATAGAGACTGAAATGAACACGTGCAAACTAGGAAATACTACAAAAGGAAAGAGATCGGACTGGGAGGTGGCACTCCTCTGTAATCATTATACTACCTGGCAAAACCTGTCATACCTTCTAGAATTATTAGAGTGCAATAAATGACAAAAATGAAGGGCCTGCCTGACCAAGATCAGTCTCTTCTTTGGTAAATGTGCTCCACTAATGAAATGTGTTTTAACCTTCACAAAAACAACGTTTTCATGGAAAGAGTATATGAGTTTTTTGTCAATTTTCTTCCAAAATTTAATTTTGCAGATACTTAATTTTACATTTGTGGTAATTTTGTATTTTCTAAACTAGATTCAAAGATTTGACACACAGATATAAATCATGACAAGAAGTCTACCGCCCCATGGCAATTTGTTTCCCCATCCCGTACATGAACTTACCGTGCCATAACTCATCATGCTTTTTTGCATTTCTAGGGGATGTTTTTGTTGGAGCTGTTTGGGCTCTTCCTCTTTTACCACCAACACAATCTTTATTACTTTCTTCATCCTCTCTCACGGGTTTGTACCTAAATTGAATGGAGAGCATGTAAACTAAATGTAGATCTTAAAAATAAAAACTATTCTTCAAGGACCAAAGTGTGAACAACAGACACTGGAGTTTCCAGTAGAACTCTGAGATCTATCCGGTTTGTCCTGACTTCCGGGTCTGAAGAATCACCAATGGCACCGCTTCCAGGGAGAGACCACGTTCTCAGGAGGGGCCACCTGAGGAGCTCAAGGGTGGTTCAGGGGAAAACAGATCTCTTTAATTAAATGTAAGCAGCAGGCATCACAGACAATGTGGGGAGACTGCATCTAAGTGCCTCTAAGGGCTCAAAGATGCCATGCTGCTCGTTACCTAAAGGAACTTCATCTTATGGAGATGTTTGTCTTATTTAAAGATCTGAAATGAATCTGAGAAGGTGACGTAACTATGATTATACCCCATGTACACGTTTCCTAGTAGACATAACAAAGGGAAGCACACACAGACGCATGTACATGCGTGTACGCATTCACGCACAAGAATGTGAAGTGGCTTTTGATAATAAAATGTAGGAGCTGGGTCTCCTCCCCTTACTTAAGCCATTTGTATGAATTCTAAAAAAACACACAAACAGCAACAAAGCTGATGAAAAACCAAACGAAGTCATTTTACTTGCCATATTGTATGAGTCTTTGTCCAAATACCAGCTCTTCCCAGAGGATTGCTCTCATCGTCCGTGGACTCCCTTTCATCTTCAGCCTGAATACTGAACTGCCGGACTGCCTGATACACAGTCATGTTATATGGGAGCAAGTGTTCTCCAATGTAAAACTGTAGCCTGTGTCTTACATTTCCTGAATTTAAGAACTGAGCAGCCTAATGAAGCAAAAGAAACTCTAGTTACACTACAAGCCCTGAACTTCATCCATTACAACATGGTGAGAACGGCACCTTACCAGAGACTCGTCTATTTCCTCGTCAGAGCCATCATCATCACTGTCTTCATCATCTTCTCTTACTCTTCCATACCCTAAGGACCCAAGAAGGCTGTTAACTTCCTAGCAATTTTACATGCCAGAGCCGAAATATACTGGTTAAATATACTCTTAGAAAACATGTATACTACACCTTGACCTATGTATGAAACAGATTCAAGAGAGCCGCCACAAACAAAAATGCCATTTCCACTACATTACATTCCAGCTGACTGTAAGCAGTCAGCCCCTAGGAAATGTACCACATTTCCACATACTACGTATTAAATAAGTGATGGGAACCCAAGTTCCTGAAGCTAGGTTTGAACGGAAGTAGTAATAAAAGGGAAATCATTTATATATCCCTCAATATTCCCAGCCCACATGTACGAACGGACACAAAACACACATAGGGAAAGTACCTCTAACTACAAGGTATCTCTCGATAGCTTGTACCAAAGCCAGGGGGTCAATCTTGACAGGGCCGCCCTTCCACTGTTTCACATTTGCACAGTCTGGATGTCTTTGTAACTGGCATTTTAACTGATGGGTGTTGAAAAATTTTAAAGCCTGTGATCCTCTGTTGAGAGAAAAGCTCAAGATAATTTGTGAAAAAAAGTTATTCTATTATTTTCAAAATCAACATAATAATTCACACAGAAGATACTACAAACTGCATTTTTTAAGGCACAAAATAAGCACTTACTTACCAGTTATGTAAATAGTGAGGCCAGCAATTTGACTTATTTAGTGAAAGTTATTAAAATAATAAAAGAGGATGTATGTATGTACACATATGAAAACATTAAATCATCATTCTCTGTCCTGAGAATTAACCATTTCTCAGACTGAGATTTAACCATTTCTCTAGAATAACAGTTCCACAAGTATTTAAGCATGCTCACTTCTGCAGTATTTTGCCATTGCCTAACTTAATTCTGTAGATTTAAAAACAAAAGAAAAAGCCCTCTCTTTTGCTTTCAAACAGTTCTGCTACAAAATTACCTTAAAAATTAACCTTTACACTTTACTATATCCCTTTGAATGAAGCAGTTTAAGAGCTACACCAATCTGACCCTGGAAATGAGATTCAACTGCTCATTTTCTACAAAGGGCTGACAACATTAAGACACAGGCAGGCTTAAAATGCAGTTCTCTTTAAGATTCCAGAAGGCATGAAAATTGGGGTATGGGAAAGAATATTCCATTAAATACAGATACACACGTAAACATATATTTTATAATAATCTGGGTGAAAATGAAAAACGTCATGGTTTTCTCAGGCATAGGCGAAATGCCCCCTTTATTTCATAAAATCCTCCAGGACAATAGGATGATCAAAACTGAATACCACATTCTATATTAATTTTCAAAGCCAGAAGAAGCCCTAACCCACAATGCTCCCTCTACCTGATCTAGTAACGCATACTGTTTTAATTCAATCACAAATTTAAATGTTTTCAAAATATATCAGATTGTATATTTTAAAACCAAACTGATCTCAGGGGCATCTGGGTAGCTCAGTTCTGTTAAACATCTGACTCTTGTACTTGAGCTCAGGTCACGATCTCCCAGTTCCTGAGATGGAGCCCCACACAGGGCTTTGCACTGACAGCACGGAGCCTGCTTGAGATTCTCTCCCCCCTGCCCCTACTCTGTGCACGCGTTTGTGCTCTCTCTCTCAAAATAAACTTAAAACAGCCAAACTAAATTATTTTGTAGGCTTCTAGTCATGATATTCCAGAAACCCTGTAACATCCCATCTAGTCATGATATTCCAGAAACCCTGTAACATCCCATAAAATAATGAACTTTTACAGTGAATTCTTTCTGCAGTACTTTATGAGCCCAGTAAAACTACTATACCATAGAAAAAAATAGAAAGTCTTATTAAAACAAGAAAACTTCAAAATAAACACTTATTTGCGAAAACCCATCAAAGGTATAATCACATCACATAGGAAATCACAATACTGCCCAGAATGCAAGTATCTTATTATCCATGCCCTTAAAACTCACAGAGAAGCATTATATATTAAGGTAATGGAACATTAAGCTTATACAGGTTGCCAACAACTCATTGGGTTACAGATTTCCAAAACACCATGTTTAAAACAAGGGGTGATTTTAAAGATAAAAAAAGTTATTTTTCTTTAACCATTTCAGCCAAATGATCTTTGGGCAGATGAAGATGTCACCAGACCTCTTGCCACGTGACCTCAACAACATTAAACACAAAGTCCCATGGCAAGGGCACACCCAAGCCATGATCCTTACCTGCCTCCTGTCCCATTTCCACTGGGAAAGTCATGTACTTTGACTGGAAATTGTTCCATCTGGCTGAGGCAGTTGTTCATCTTGTGAACCAATGCCAACAAAGGTGCATTACCCACTGGCTCTACTCTTCCAATGGGCTCTTCTCCAGGAAGCTGAAGTTATAAATAAACCATTCGGTTAAACAAGGCCTCTTGAAAATGGAACACTCCTCAACAAGAAAATTTAACAGGCAGTTTTACAGAAGAAAACCATTCATTTATTCTCTTTCATCTCTTGCTAGTTTGTTTAGAATGGTTATTTCTATATAAATTATTTCAAAATAGAGACTTTTTGTACCGGTCCACCATCCTTTAGTCATAATTCCTAAGTCCAAAAGGCTTAAAAACACAACTCACGTGGTGGTGAAACCCAACCCAGACACAAGGCTATCTGCAGTCTTTGTTTGCATCTATTTAGGAAGAATATTCACATGCTTTGCTGGAAAACATTTAACGCGTATGGAGTGCTATTTACCCACTGAGGATATCTGGTAATATCTATGTACGCATTGAAGAACTTTTGAAAACCATCCAGCCCCAAGAGTTTCAAGTAAGAGATTACATACCTGTACATAATCTTAAGCACAGTATAAAACCACATCTAGTATTGCCACAAATCTAATGAATCTCTAAAAAATATCAACTCTGCTTCAGATAGCCCAGGTTAAAACACTACAAGAGGGGCGCCTGGGCAGCTCAGTCAGTTAAGCATCCAACTCTTAATTTCGGCTAAAGTCATGATCTCAGGGTGGTTGAGACTGAGCCCCACGTTGGGTTCTACACGGGGCGTGGCGCCTGCTTGAGCTTTTCTCTCTCTCTGCCCCCCACCTCGCCCACACACTCATTCTCTCTCTCTCTCCTAAAAACTAAATAAAAAAATTAAAAGTTAAACAAAACAAAACAAGAAATGCTCAAATGCCTATAAACACTGAAAGGAAGGCATGGTGAAGTAGTTTCACTAATACACAGAATTATCCTTAGCCCTACTATACAGAAGATCCAGAAACATCTCCAGGGATGCCTTATCTCAAGTAGTTGTCAACAAGTAGAATGATGTTAAGTCAACAGTGCCCAAGAGTAGGTACGTTCTTGCTCTTACCCACTGAGGTTGAAGTAAGGGGAGTCTCTCTGTGGCCTCTGGTCTTGTATTGCATGTGGTGATTAAGTACTCTCGAACAGAACTGTTAATACTGTACTTTATATGCAAAATGGAAATGTATATGTCCACTCTTATGTCTATAGCCATGTTTACCGCATTTCCACTACATACATACATATACATATATATCAAACTGTAATACGTTTAAAAACAAATATTGAAAATAAATATATTCACAAGTGAGAGACTACTATTAATGGCTGGTCTTATAGGAGAAAACAAAGACTTAAGATAATGTGGATCATAGAAACTGTGGCACCTGCACCGTTAAATCACCATTCGGTTGCTGTACTAGTATATATGATCTATAAAAGACCAAGGAATCCAACTGTGTATCAGAAGCTAGAAGCTTTACCTCACTTTCTTGACCAGCACCTAATGGAAATTACGGAGATGAAAATACACACATTAGTGAGCAAAGATTCCCGTAATAAGATACACAAGCATCATTAGACAACTTACTGGTGAAGAAAAGAATACATGAAGGAATCTCTTTAATCTGATCTCTCTGCTCACAGCATCCTTTTCACTTTTAGATGTCAAATAAAGCAACAGCTGCTTCACGAATCCACTATGCTGGATTTCAAATGATGAAACGTCTGACTCTGAGACTATGCTACGGATTTCTACAAGGCACTCAGCTCCACCATCCACCTGTAAGAGTTGGGAACAGTATTTCTATATTGATTTAAACAGTCCCCTTATTAAAGGTACAATTCACACTTCCCCAAAAGGAAGAGAATACATTCTCAACACCTTTAAAAAAGAAGGCAGGGGAAGTGATGCATTCTTGGTAGATCCTTGAAAAATATGACCATACATATTCACAAAATGTTAATACTTCACGGCAGAAAACTAGTATCCACACTACTAACATAGAAAAGTCTCACATTCAACCAATGTAGAACAAACAAATAAAGACAAGAATGAGAATACAAATTGAGGGGTAAAGAGAATACCAGAAGGAGAAGATTAAAATAAGAATATAAAGAGCAGTGTTAAATTAATACATTTAAAACCTGGATGAAATGGACAATTTCTTGAAAGCATGTACTACCCAAACTGCTCCAAGTGCATAAAAAATGCAAGAAGGTGGAGAATCAGATGAAATTTAAAAGGTTTATTCAATCTCCCTCTTCAACTACTATGAGACCCCATCCACTCAAATCCCCATAGTTGAGGAGATGTACTCGAGGGACATTTCTCAAGTCTCTTTTTTGTCAATAAATACAGGATGTGAAGAAGAAAGCCAAGGATGAGATCTCCCAGTACCATTAATGATAAATGATGAAGCACAAAAGTCAAAGGACACATTACAGAAATGACAGTGCTAAAGATACACGTCTAGCTAAAAAGTTGATCTAGGACAGGAAAATCCGCGGAAAGCCAGACAATCATCAGGGAGGAACAGGAAGACAGAAGAGATGCGGAAGAGACTGTAAAAGGACCAGCAAGGTGCACCCGATGTGGTACCTGGAGGTTGAGTTGTTCGGTCGCAGCACAAAGTCTCTGGAGGACATTCAGTGCAGGGTTGCTTCCATCCATGTTCTCAGAACTGAAGTAACGTTCTACAAATTTATGCGCCTGTTCCTTAATCCAACCTTTAATTTTTTCTCTGCGAGCAGGAAAACAAGATATTAAATTTACTCTCAGTGTATAGAAAGGAATTCAATTATAACTCCGCATCAAAGGCAAATAGCTGCTACATTTAAAAATAAAAACAAAAAAAAAACCAAAAAAAAAAAAACCAAGGCGTCTGGGTGGCTCAGTCGGTTAAGCGTCCGACTTAGGCTCAGGTCATGATCTCACAGTTTGTGGGTTCAAGCCCTGCATCGGGCTCTGTCCTGACAGCTAGCTCAGAGCCTGGAGCCTGCTTCAGATGCTGTGTCTCCCTCTCTCTCTGACCCTCCCCTGCTCGCTCTCTCTCTCTCGCTCTCAGAAATAAAGAAGACATTGAAAAAAAAAAAAACACGCTTTTGGGCCTATGCTATAGACTCATGAATTCAGATTCCTTAATAACCAAATTAAGTGTCATTTTGAAAATGGGTTAAGGTGTAGTAGACAAATGCACAGGTACTTAAAACATTACAAGTCATTACATGAAAAATATACATAAACTTCTAACTCCTTGGAACTCTACCACGTTAATAGTTTCCTTCCTAAGTAGTCGCCTGAAAGCAACTTGATGTGACTGTGTCATTAGGTACAGACACATCTGCTTTGTCCTTTGTCTGTGTTTCCTGGAGAGGTGAAGTAAAGAACTATAGACCAGAAACATGCACCTGTTAGATGTACAATTAACTGAAACCTTGCTGCTTAAATTACAAATTCTGATGTTTAGAAATACATGTGCTTATTTTTTATTAAATGAAGTTCAGAAAAACAATAACCAACCAACCAAACAAAATGAGCCTATTTCTTTGCACAGTGGCATTTGATTTTTAAAAACTGGTTGCAGAGGAAGTAATCCATGTTGGTGTGCAACATCCAGAGTCAAAAAACCAAACAACTCTGAAGTATTTTTAAGAAATAACTTAATAGCCACAAATCAGTGTGTGAAACAGTTTAGCTGATAGTTTTTTTTAGCTGATACAGTTTTAAGTTTTTTTTAATGTTTTATTTATGAGAGGAGTGAGAGAGAGAGAGAGAGAGAGCGCGTGAGAGCGAGCACGCAAGCGAGCAGGGGAGGGTCAGAAAGAGAGGGAGACACAGAATCTGAAGCAGGCTCCAGGCTCTGAGCTAGCTGTCAGCACAGAGCCTGATACGGGGCTCGAACCCATGAACCTGTCAGATCATGACCTGAGCCGAAGTCGGACACTTAACCGACTGAGCCACCCAGCGCCCCTACAGTTCTAAATTTCTTAAAACCAACCAACCTCTATTCTAAGGTCCTTAAGTTCTAATCTAAAGGGTAGAGGAAGGGGATCATAAAAATGGGTGAGAGAGTGTGTGTGTACCCATGCAGAAAATGTCAGCTTTTACTTGTCTAGAATAAAACTGAGGAAGAGGTTCCACAGGAAGAATTTATTTGGCTCTGAACATCTATTAACTCCCAGCCAAAAATGCTGAAACAGGCTTTAAGATGTAAGACTGGAATTTAGGACAAAGCCAGGCATGGAGTTCAAGAGTTGAGAAATCTACTCCATCCCCGAGCAATACCACTACTGAGCATACACGAAAGGCCTGTGTCCATGCCTCACCTCCATACACTAAACGTGCTGACTGAAATAATGTTCGGTTTTGCTAGTCTGAGAACAGAGCAGACGACTCCCCCACTTCACCTGTTATTGGAGATGGTGTCCTTTGAGGCGGCCCTGGCAAGACCACTGACTCCTGCCGTTCGCGCCGGTTCAATGTTGTTGCTGTTGGACTGTGCGCTTAACCTTCCCCACGTTTTTGGATTCAGGCTCGCCAGGAAAGAAGATTTAGGTGACTGAGTAGTGGTGGGGCTTTTAGCTGTAAGAAAAGGGAATGACAGTGAAACCATTTCAGCACAACTGATGAAAACCGACTGAAATTTAACATTCCTGCTCTTACTAGATAAATCAGCTGAAACACCTTAGAACATGGCGTCAACTCAGGTGTGCTGCAAAGCTACCAGCAGCTTTCGTGAGGTACATGCCTCCAGCTGGTACCATCTTTCCCTCTGCCTTCCACCCCCACAGTGTCACCAAAGGAATTACCTTGATTGTCTACTTTGTCATCATCTCTTGGAGGTGAATACTTTGGCCTTCTTGGCCCTCGTTTTGGCAGTCGCTTTCTCTTTAGAACATCACTTAATCGACTATCACATGGGAAAATATGGGATAAGTTTAGCAATTACCACGATTTATTATCACCACTCATTGAAAAGCAAACTAAAATGGTAGACACAAGGAGTTATAAAATACTGCCATAACAGGGTAGTTCTCATTCAGTGATTACTTATTTAATGCAGACTCTGTACCAGTCATGCTCTAAGAGGTATAGAGACGCAGAAAATGATGCATTCAGAAAAAGCTATTTGACTATTCTGAACTACTAAAAGTGAAACCAAACAGACTATCTGAATAATCCCGTGTTAAACTCTTACTATGAAACGTTATACACATAGAAAATTATATAAACAAATTTACAATGCAAAAAAGCAGTATTAAAAAGAGCTAGGATATCAAACTGGAAACAGAATGCTAAGTCTGATTACCATATTTCTTCCCTAACTTAAATGACAAGAAGTAAAATATAAATGACACTGAGTGTTAATATCATCAAAATGCTTTCCTGACCCTGCCCAAAGTAATTTCATATATACAACTGCCATAACATCCTAAATGAAGGCATTTATCAATAGTTTAGGGATTAAAATAAAAAAACAAAACCTCAAAACTCTCTATAAACAAATCTATCAAGTCATAGTATGAATAACCTATTCTGAATTAAAATATCTGAAATAGCACATATGTAACCTGTCTTATTTTCACTATTCTTAACAGCAGAAATAGTTTGAAATACCAACTGATTCTTAGAGGAAAAAACAAAATACAGCAAAACAAAACCCCAGAACACCACATAAGATGGATAAGATGAAAAGTGTTCTGCTTAGGCTGGTCTGTGACCCAAAATAAAATTAGAAAAATTGAAAAAATTTGGTCTTCCAATATCTGGTGTCTATTAAAGACACTTACTGATGTGTTTAAAATATGCTTGACAAGCAAGACGAGTGAAAAATTCTCCCTTTACAAATTTTTATGAACTTTTCATTAGAAATCGTATTAGAAAGAAATAGAACCACTTAAAAGTCCAAAAGGTTCTTTCCTTTTTGTTGTTGTTGTTTTTGTTTTTAAGAATTTTCAACTGTTGGACCCTAATAAAGTCTAATCCTTTCAGTGGCTCAGAAATAATGCATCTGTCTGAGCTGCATCACATCTCAACGAGTGCCTGATGTCTCGAGCATTACGCCTGCACTAGACAGACAGTGAGACCCCGCTGTAGTGGAAGTTACTACAGCAGCCAAGGGGAAGGAATGGGGCTGGAAAAGGAGGAAGAGAAGAGGCAGGCAGGCTGTGAGGGAAAACTGGCAGACAAATCCAACTTGAGAACAGAGAAGGTGGAGGGTGGTCTCCAGTACTGTTCAGGACCAATCTCACTGGACTGGATCCATGGCACCATCCAAACCTAGAAATTTCCTAAAATAACAGCCACTGCGACAGAAGTCCCAATGGGTAGCCCAAGTCCAAGTGCCAAAATTCACATTTAAGATAGAGCAAATAACTGCCACCAGGTGGCACCAAAAGGAGCTGGCATCCTGAGCTGGCCAGCTTCTTAGAACAATGCTACCTTGCAGTGCACAGGTTCAACTTTTGGATCTCACTTACTGACTATATGTTTCACCAAGATCCATGTTACAGCTTAAAAGGAGTAAAGAGGAATATCACACGGAGTACACTCTGATTTCAGAACTGAGTGTGGCTGATCATGCACCATTCTTACAGCCATATTAAGTTTCTATTGTCAAAGAAACAAAAACACTTTAGAGTATCATTTGTTTTAACCCCACAAAATGAACTAATATGAGGGTTTAGTGGTGATGTTCTCAGTAGCACAGTACAATAAAGGGATTAAAACCAGACAAAGTGGTGGAAGCAGACATACTTCTTTGAGAACTCCCATTTTCTTTTACTAAAAGCAAAGTTCTCATCTGCCAATGAAAGACAGATGGGAAATCAGGTTTTTCCTGTGCATCCTAAAAATTCCAATTTTTAATATTTTTCACTATGTCACTACTTGGATGTCTCAAACCTGGCACATTTGCTATAATGCAGCAAATACTCACAAGATTAGGGAATTAGAAATGAGGGATCAAGTCCTACATCTGTGAAAATCAGTGTGTGACTGTGCACATCATCAACCTCTCTGAGCCTCAGCTGCCTCCTCTATCGCTGGAAATACCTAAATTTGTGGTTCCTACACATGGCGCAATACAGTGGCTTTGCAATAGATGTTCAGTTTCTTCCCATTCCCATTAAAGGTTTAACAAGATACAGACGGGAAAATACAAAGTGTACTCTCGAATATTTTACCATGTTTATATCCTGTGGGAATCTCAGGTACCAGGACACAGTTAAAGGCAAAGAGCGTAAAAACCACCACAGAACTTTGACTTACCCTTGAGGGCTCAGATCTAAAGAATCATCTCTGCTGTGCTGCAAGCTGGGGGATCCCACGTCAGCCACAGCATTAGTGGCAGCTGTGGCTGTTCCACTGCTGACTGACGTCGTGGACCCCAAGGATCCTGACCCATTTGTACATGCCTTTGGTGGACTTGTCAACAAAGACTCTGATTCAGCTAGGTGTTTTACTTGATGCATTACACCTATACAGTGACAGATTTAAGAGAGTCAGTTTTAATCAGGCCCACCTCCCCACAATTACAAAATCCCTAAATGCTAAACAGGGCATGAATCAAAACTATCCAGCATATTGAGGGGGAGGCCCTTAGGTGCCAGGGTTTTCAAACTGATCCATTCCAAAGAAAGGTAGGCAAATCCAATGTTAAAGAAAGATGTTTATATTGACATTTATATCGAAAAACACTTATTTTGAATGTCCTCTAATATTCAAATACTGGTAACAGGAAGTTTAATACGGTCACACATGAATACCCACCGGAATTCAAAATACCCATTATAAAAACAATCAACTACAAAAACACAATAGCCCACCTCTGGCTCGATCACCAGGAGGAAAGAAAGACCCGCTACGTTTAGTAACCAACTTCAAACACTACAATGAGACAAGATCACAATAATGCTGCTGCCAAGAAAGAGGACACCAGCAATCCCAGGATGGGGATTTTCACATCCTTGGAGGTGTACAGGGTGAGCTGAACAGTAGCTGATGAGGCAAGGGTTCATATCTGGGCTAGAATCACAGGAGGATGCAGGTGGGGCAAAGGGGAGTACCATGAACTATCAACTGTATGCAAAGGTATATGTCTGAGTATACGTGAGTGGACGTTCACACATTTCATGATTTTTCCAGGATAGAGTCCAGAGTTTTCCCTCAGATTCTTAAAGCAAACAAAAAACCCACAAAAACACAAGATGTCCGAATGAGCTCAAACTTCAGGCGTTTGCTCCGTAAATACTGTTTGCAGCAATCGCATGCCGGACTGTGCGCTAGTTACTAAGAATAGGACCATGGATGAGAAAAATGGACATAGGGCACTTACTGGGGAGAAAAAATAAATTTTGTAAGAAATCACAAATAAAGAGTAAACTGATCCTTAGAGAGAAAATACAGTGCTGATGTAACACGGAGGACCTAACACAGATTCTAGAAGGCAAGTCCTCCCGAAAAATAACATTTAAGTGGAACCTGAAAGTACAAATGCCTGATGCAAAGTAGTAGAACTGATCATGCCCCCCATAAACTTCATAATGTATACACTATATGAATATTTGGGGGGTAGAAAATTCATGTGATGGTACACTGATCTCATAAATGTAAAACGAAAAAAAAATCACTGAGACATACTCTGATAAGACTTCCAAATCAGAGGGTAGAATATATCAGAAGGGTAGAACTAACGACAAAAACAGAACATCAAAACCAAGATACAAAATGCAAATTTACAAGATAATCCAAGGCTAAAAAGAACACATACCAAATGTTTATGTGAGCACAGAAAACATCTATTCATATATGCACCCCATTTGTTAATCATAGTTATGGAATTTGCCTTCCATTTCAAATACAAATGTAGCACTAGGATTTTTTTTTTTTTAAACTCACAGTTTTAAGTAAGAAATGGTGAAAACCTCTTCCTATGCGATTTAATACTCTTACACTAACATGAGTATTCTCAAGATGTGAAGAGATACAGAGCCAGCATAAGGTGATGAAAGAAAAGAAAACAAATCATATGCAGAAAGAACTAGAATTGTTGGTAAGATGAAAAATGAAGCTAAGGATTACTTGAGTATAAAAACACCATGACCTCCTTGGGTCTTCACAACACCAAAGTGTCCCTAAGAGACCAAAAGAACTAGAGAGACTTGTTTATGAGAAAACACTTCTTTTCATTATCTTGGTATGTTTGAAAGAGATAAAACACCTGAATGAGCAAGTCTTCGAGGTCTTCAAAAGGAGAACAGAAAAGTACCATTCAAATTCCTCAAATCAGGTGACTAGACCAATGGCATACTAAAGATTTCAATACGTAAGTAAAGCCTAAAAATATTCCACTATGCACACAACGAAGTAAATAATAATCCGTTTTACAAGTGTTCTGATCTACTAACGGGATTCACTGGGAAAGAAAGTGATCTCTTGGCTTCTTCAAGGCTCTTTGTGGGAGCTGCACATTATCTACACTAAAAGAAAAGACAGTGACTGCTTCTGGCCCAAAAACATTCAAAACACTGAAAGTTACGAAGTGTTCATCAGTGGACCATGAATCTCAGACAACCTGTTTAATAGACTTTACAAAGGACTCACCCTGTATGCATGCGAGCTGTAAGCACAAAAGCTTCTTATGTATGAGGTAAAAGTTTGATCGTTCGGAATTACAACTATACATGCTACGGAAATACTATTTAGACTAAAAGATGAGCCATTAATTAATGGTCATGAAGGACATTACCTTCTCTTCTGAAGTAAACACTAAAGATATCAGGTAACTTCTGCATTAAGATTTCGGCCATCTGAAGTGCTCCAACTACTATCTTCAGGTCTTGGCTTGACAGCATGGAAGCAATGTGACTAAAAAAAGAAAGCATTCATATATAAAACATCTGTCTGAATCTGAGAATTGTTTTTGGCCATACTACCTTAAATTTGAGAGCGAAATATTTTACTTGTGAAAACAGTCCATTACAACAAAAATTCGTCTTAAACGTTCAACTTTTGCATGTATTTTAGTCCTTCTCAAAGGTGTGTATGCATACAAAGAGACAACAAAGGGATCCAGATACTACAAATAAACTGTTTTGTGCATATTTTTTCTGTTATTACTTTTAAGATTTCTGAAATTACTTGCAGACTTGAATTTCTAAAAAGTTTTTACTATTTTCATGAACACACCTTGAAACAGCATGATTTTTCAGGACATCCTTCAGAAGTTCAGCATCCGCAAAATAAATTATCCTAAGAATTGCTCTAAGGCACTTATGTCTGACCGCAGGTCCTGCCGAGGAACTATACACTTCATAAAGAACACCAAATAATGTCTTAATAAAAGACTTAGCCAGTTCCGGATCCTCTTTCATAAGCTGTGCTCGAGCATCATCCTTCTTTAACTCTGAATATCCGCCTGTTATAAAAAACGTACAATCCTGAAGTTACGGACTTGAGAAACACAAGGAAGTATACAACACAAAGCATGCAAGCTGCCGTGATTATTTGAAATGTTATTTTAAAAATTTAGTCATGTAATGAATTAGCTTCTCTAACGTGACTGATGGGGGTCTGTAAGGATGCCAAAGGCGTCAGCTAGACATAATCTAGCCAGCTTGAAAGAACAAGTGACCAGCACACTGCACCACTTATTTTAATAATATATGCTCAACAAAATACTGAGGATGTTCAGTATTAACCACCTAAAACACTGGTAAAAATAAACAGAATTCAAGAAATGGACAGAGGTATGTGACTAGAAGCTATGGAAAAAGGATGATCTGTTGCTTTCCTCAGAGGGAATAAGGTATAGGGGAGAGGAAACTGATGAAAAGTAAGCTCTAGACCAGGAGTTGAAAAAGTCTGGTTCAAAGGCCCAATCTGGCCCAGTACCTAATTTTGTATATCAAATCTTACCAGAACATAACCACGTACATTTGTTTATATACTGTACATGGCTGCTTTGGAGCTACAACAGCAGTGTTGAGTACAGGGAGTGTACAGTCCATGAAGCTTAAACTATTTACTATTTGGCCTTTTTCAGAAAAAGTTTGCCAGCCCCTGCACTCTAAACTAGAGCTGCAAAAGCAATGGACTGTGTGTATCCCCAAGGACAAAATGTCAGAAACCTGGAAAAAAAATTAAAATGCCCCATTCTTCACTAGTTAAGAAGAGAATGTTCATGGGGAAGTATAATATATAAGGTTGGAAAAACTAATCTGACAGGTGTGAGTGGGTCTAAAGGTAAAAGAAGGAGAACAGGATCAGATTAAAAAAAAACTGCATTGGGCCAATTCTCACTGGAGTCTGGGACGGCAAATCACATAACAGAAAAATAATGCAGAGGATACCATTTCAGCAATCCTACATCATTCATCAATTAAAATACAATAAAAACAAGAAATTACTACTATGCCACAGTCTTCAGCTTAATAAAGACACTCAATGAAACAATTATTGCAAATATTATTCACATGACAATATTGTACTACTATTAACTCAAACGGTACTTACTAGTGTTAGTATTGGCTAAGGGGTTAGGTTTTCTCTGAATGGCACGTGCTGTTCCCGTGTCCTCATTGATTTGCTGCATAGAATTAAAATCAATAGTATAAACTCGTCCCAGAGTGGACAAGCTTATCTCATCCTCACCGACCTGATGGGCTGCCTGAGAGCAAAGAGAGAGAAACCTTGAATATAAACATGGAGAAATTTATTAACTTAAGACACAGTGGGGACCCTTCATAAATGCTAACTTACATATTTATTTCATCAGGTTTCAGAGGGTGAAGTAATAGAATATGGAAAATGTAATAGTGTGGATGTGACAATTCATTCAATAAATCATTTTTAATTAAACACAAATATACACCATAGGCCCAGTAAGGCCCCGGAGACATAAATACAGATAAATTCCTGATGAAAGATCCAGTCATGGAGAAAGCAGGGACATGAAGACGACACCATCTGTATTAAGAAAGCTTTTAAGACGATGCTGATAGAAAAAAAATATCGTTATCCATAAAATATTACTATCTAATTCTTAGGTTAAAATGTTATTTACATCAAGGATTCTTAGCAGCCCACCACAATCTTCCTTAAACAACATGATTCTATAAAATTATCCTTAAGTAAAAAGGCTTTCCATTTAAATGATGCTCTAAGATCAAAAGGGACACAACTGGGCCTGAGAGAGTAATGCCTACGGCATGCATGCGGGCACTGTCCAGAAATAAAATGACATGCTTTAGCACTATGTGCTTGACATAAGACAGCCAAAAGAAGTGACAGAATATTCATTTTTGGAACAGTCCAATGTATGGAGTTCCTAACTTAAGTGGAAGACAGGACTCCAGGAAGTGTAAGAGAGTAAGCTAACAGGAGAAATGCAGTTATTAAGAAAATGCTAACAGGAAGGCAGCTTAGCACTGACCGCATTAGGCCGTGGCTTGCTTACACACTAAGAGGAACACACATTGGACTCATCACACCTAAAAGCTGGCTCAGAACTTGATATTTTCAGAATAACTTCTGATTTTATTACAGAAGTCAGTGGTTTCAAAGTTGTTTTTCAAAAATTTGTTTTTAAATAAAGAAGAATGCCTCTTCAAGAGTGATGTTCTAAAGGAAAAGTCAAATATTACAGGTCAAAATTAGGAAATATAGTAAGACTTGAAGGTATTTCATCTATTGAAAATATTAGTAAATGATGCATGGTACCCCAATTAATGCTGTGACCAACACTTCTTAAACAGGGCGATTTTCCTGACCTGAAAAATTTTTAAAATATTCAATGCATACTTAGTACGGAAGTAATGAAAATAATAAAACCACACATAAAATCGTCACAGGAGAATACTAAATATTTTCGGTCCACCTCTCTCCTTGGTATTATTCCTCTTTCTCTTATTATTTTGCTGAGCTCTCCAAAGAGCCACAAAATTTGATTATTATGTGTTCATTTATCATATCCCATTTTACGTCATTAAAACCTATCCCACTGGATTCCATATGAGGCTAGTATGTATCAAAACCTACTTAACCACTTCACCTAGACATTGATACGTAAGTTGTTTCCGTATTTTCACTCTTTAATAAGTGCTGAGAAACAGCGAACTATATGTAAATCTTTGCTTATGGGAGGTTTTCTTCTGGGTAGGAGATAGGACTTTTAAACATATAGCCCAACTCCTCCAACGTTTCCTTTCAGAAATGAGGAAACTATGGAACAAAGAACTTAAATTACTTGCTCCAAGTCAATCAGGTAGTTAGCAGCAGAAGCAGGACTAGAACATCATGTTTTCTGACCTCAACAGAAATGAGGACCTTGTTCTCAGGAGACAAAACGAGAGAATCTTGAGTTAATTCAAAAGTGAGCACAGTGAAGTACACATACCCACCTCCCCACTCCATCCCTACACCCGCTCTCCACCAAAATAAACCTATTTAAACGGTACGATGAAACTACTACCTCAATGATCCGGCTGTCAATCCTGTTATAGGGATGCCAAAGGCCACGGTCGTCACGCCACTGCCATATCGCACCATCCGTGTTCTGCGCATTTCCCTTCTTCAGCATGGTATCAACTGCAAAAATGCCTTCTTTTGGTAAACATGGCATAAGTTCGCTGAAAACAAAGGTGCAATTATTTTATTAAGTAGCTTCCTGAACTATTAGTAAGTGACAGATCTCTCAAGTAAAACACCGCATATAAACCACACTTAATACTAGCCCAATCCGTACCAAATCAGAGATGTCAGCTCATACAGTTCTTGAGGGCTTCGTGGAACAAGATCAATCTGTTCCTGACAACTTCCGTTAGAGGCACCACATAGGAGGAAGTGAAGAGTTTCTGCAATATCTGTAAAACCAACAACAGAAACCCAAAACTCATGAAAACAATTATAGGACCTAACTTAATAGGTAATCATTCCCAAGCGGGGAGGGGGAGGGAGAAGGACAATCAGAATTATTTTCTTAAACTATACATGAAAAAGAAACAGCATTATTTTCTTATAAAACAATATACTACAGAAATTAAAAGTTCAAATGAGCTATAATGAAAACTTAAAAAGAAATTTATGAAAATCTTAACAATTTCTTTCTAAAGACTTCAGTCTAAAGTCTTCAGCTCTACATTTAATCATTAATCCACCCCCCCAGAGACTTGGGGACTTTTTAAATTTTGGGTTCCATTGAGGAACACAGTGCTTTGTGCAAAGGCGCATTCAATGTACATTTTAGTCCCCAATTCAAGTATATTTGTGTATTTGTCTTATACTGAAAACGCTTGGACAACACAGTAAAACCTACAATTACAAGCATCTGAATGCTACCACACCGTGATCAGGAAGTAATTACCTGACAAGTATGCCAGCTTAATACAAAGATGGTTACCATATCCTCTACCATAAGTTTGCATTCCCAGAAGGCATCAGTTTATAGAGGAATCTGCATGAAAACCAGTCTGATGTACAGACACTGTGTCACGGACACCTGTGTCATGAGGAAGCCCCCATTATCCACACAGGTTTAGTCACTCAAATAACTGAAAGTAAAGACCAAGCTGGGTCTTTGTTCATTGTGACTATGTTTCTGCAAATCCTATACATATGCAAAATTTCACTGAAATGTTTTCACCCTAAGTTCATAAAATGTTATCAAAGAAAGTATTCATGATTGTTGTGGGCAGAAATGTGGATAGTTTAAACTGGTGACCCATAGAAATTTCATTGACAGTTATTAAAAATATTCTAACCTTCTTGGGGTGCAAAGATGGCTCAGTCAGTTAAACATCTAACTCTTAATTTCAGCTCAGGTCATGATCTCACGGTTTGTGAATTTAAGCCCTACATCAGGGGCTGTGAGCACAGAGCCTAGTTAGGATTCTCTCCAACCCCCTCCCCCCCGCCCCCCCTCTGCTTAAGCTCTCTCTCTCTCAAGAATAAATATAAATGTAAAAAACTATTTTAAATTTCTTAAAAAACAACAGTTTTGCCACTTTCCTAAAAAATGTGAATACATGGCAATGATACATTGTGAGGATTCTTTAATTTTTTGAGAGATTAGAGGGTGACAACACTTTTCCTTTATGTTACTGCTGAACGAAGAAAACACAAATCTAGTGGCATCCACGTGATAAATGTGTGGCAAACTTCATGAAGTATGCAAAAGGTGAAAATATTCATCATAAGAAAAAAAATCCAAAATGGTAAAGCAAACAAAAGTCAGTGAGCAACTTCTCAAACTGGTTTTAGGGAAAGGCCGTGAGCCACATGGTAACAAGAAATAATCTGCACTCAAACTTCAAGAAATATGGGCCCTGGCCAGATTCAAAGAGCTCCTAGGGATTTTAGTAAGCAAAAGCACTGTGATAACTCAAGAAAAGCTAAACCTTTCCTCAACTTCTCACTTTGGTTATGACATGAGCTGTGCAGTTTTCTCTGGAATATCAAGTTTGTGAGTGATTCAAAGCATTAAGAGGAATTTTCAGCAAAGCACTGGACCAATGTGCTTATTCACAAGGAATGGGACTAAAAATAAAACTGAACCCCACCCCCAAGTTATATTATGTGAGATATCTGAGGCAGTGACAACCAAGGCTATTTTTGTCAATGAATACCATCACCACGGTAATGTCCTCAGAGATTAGAAGTATGAAATTACCCATAATAATATGCATTCCATACAAACGTGACCTACCCTACTAGCCATAACCCTATATACCACTCTACTAGCAATAACCCTAACATACAGATGTTTTCTGAGGCCCACTGTCTTCTGATAATAAGGTGGGGAATCAACGGTTTCCAAGAGAGATGCAATAGCAATATAGCAGTGCAATAACACTGTACTTAGGGATAAGGTTGAGGAGGGTTTAGAAAATACTAAAACAGCAAAGATGAGAGATACAACTGTGTAAGTAAGTTCCAAATTTTTGAGAGAGTAAAGCATTGTGGAATCAGATAAGGAAAAACTCTAATGGGGCAGAAAGGACTACTAAGAAGCAGAAGACAAGCAGTTACTGTAACATAAAACTCAGAATTCTCCCAATGATTCATCACTACACCACTGATATTGTAGAGAAGGCAATGATCTTGCATTTTTAGCCTTTGAATCACCTAGGATAAAATTTTAATATACTATATACCCAAACAATTGTATAGAAGAAGCACTAGTATGTTGTTCCAACACAAATTTATTACATGGTAAAACCTTGCTCTGTGAGCATAATTTGCTCCAGAAACATGCTTGTAATCCAAAACATTTGTACGTAAAAGCGAATTTCAAGAACTGTTGGCTCAGATGTGATCCTGTGACGTTTGGCAACATGAACTACTGATATTGCAAGACGTCGCTCGTTTATCAAGTTAAAATGTTAGACGTGTTTGCTCGTCCTGCGGAACACTCAGAGAACAAATTACTCGCAATCGGAGGATTACTACATCACATTAACATTTTTCTTCCTTTACTAGCCAGTGTCTGTGCTATTAGCAAGCTCTTCTACTTGCTTATGCTGACTTTACTTAACAAACATTAAAAAAAAAAAAACCCAAAATGCCTCTCTTGCCTAAAGTAGGATAATAAAGTAGCACTTACTTTGCTTCATAAGTTGAACAGCTAAAGTCGGACAGTTGGAACACATCAGAGAAAACATGCGAACCACCATGATAAACATCCCAGAACTTAAAATTGGTGGGGTCACTACCAGTAGCTGTTGAACATTTGTAAGCAGATCTTTGGAGGCAACCTGCTGGAGTAAATTCTTCACAAACAGAAGAAAAAAGATACTATTATATTGTGATTCAGCAATTTAATATTTTCACAAAAATACCACCAAAGACTGAATGCTTACCTCCTCATGTTGGAAGTTGTCCACTAGACGTGCAAAACAAAGGCAAGTGCTTTCAACCGACTTTTTGTCCTGTTTTATTTTAACAGAAGAAAAAAGTTTGTTAATATAAAACTATCTCATATCTATTACCTAATTTTCTTCCTATCTCCAAATTCTGGCCCAATTAGGTGGGTTTTGAAAACCCAACGAGCCTAATAAGCAAAGTACAATCAGTAACACCATGATTTCACACCAAAGAGAATCATACTCAGAACTTCTCTCCTTTGATTAAGACCCCAGGAGGTCAGAGAAAATATATAGAAAGGAAGGAACAATGTTCGTGTTTCTGTTCACTTAATACCTAAACACAAATTATAATAAAGGTAAACATACCACTCTAAAAAAGCATTCCCTGTAGAAGGTTTAAAACACACATACATGAAAAAGTTGCAAACAGTTCAGTATACAAGTGTGAACCAGAGGTTTACTGATGATGTGAGAAACGAGGTGTAGATCTGCTATATTCACTATGAAAACAGTCTAGAAATACTAGTGCAGTGGCCTCATTCAGAAAACATAGGAAATGTCCTTAATAAGAATGGAAAGAACAACTTAACAACTAAACAAGTGTTTTGATTGTGCTTTTTTTCCCCTTATACATAAATGGGCTTCAGACTTGCCTGTATAAAAGTGAGAATAATTCTGGTGTTACAGAAGCCCTATACCTTATCAGTACTTAAGTCTAGAAAGAGTGCTTCTCACACTTTATTTCCAAAAGAAGGTACTGAAATCACAGCTAACCAGGGAATATACTTCTAGCCCTGATAAGCACAGGTGATAGCAGCCTACTAAGTTTTAAAATTAAAGAAACAATGAACTTGACAAGACTTGTGTCTTGATCATCTTAGAAGTAAAACACTGCAGTGACTCAATAATCATTATTTTATCTGTCTTATGTAAAGCCCTTGTTTAGCATATTCTCTGTACCTAATTTTCCCCAAGAAGATTTTAAACATACTTTGTAAAGGTGACTTAAACATCACATTTCTAAAAATCATTTTAGCAATAATACCACTTTAAAACTGATTTGTATTTTAAATTCGATTTCTCCCCAATGAAGCTTAACCCACTGTCCTCCATGCCAGGTTCTCCTGCTTCTCATCCTCCAATACCAGACCCAACTGCTTCCGTCTCCTAAATAACAGCTCCTGTTCTTCTCCAACCTAAGACAGCCAATGTCTCCATTTTCTTCATTTCATTTCTATTTGGGACACAGTCTCGTCTCACCTCTGATCTGAGCCCGTAACCCCCTAGTCTTTCTTGCCTAACCCAATGCCTTATAGGCGAGATGACCGCCCCAAAAGGAAACTCTGATTGTATCACACAATAAATACTCAATGTTTGCTGAATAACAAATCCATCCTTTAAAGTCAAAATACTTGAAGATACCAAACATACAAAATGCTGGTCATTTGGGTAAGTCCACCAAATTGTATAAAATAACCTGATACGGTACAGGACTGGAAAGCACAGGAACAAAAACATTTATCAAGAGTATTTCCAAGTGAGATATCCAGTTGGAACATTTAAAACTCTAGATGAAGTTGGCATTTTAAAAAACATAGTAAAAATATTTTATGACACATAAAAGAGATTCATGTTTTACCTGATGGGTTAGCCTTTGGGTAAGCAATGGGAGGGAATCTGCCACAAAATGAAATTCATCTGGCGTGATACTCTGGCAGCAATTGGCTGCAATTGCTAGTGCATTTCTTTGGGCATTTATGCTGAAGAACTCTAGATACAGCAAGCAGTCTGCCAAACCACCCTAAGATACAAAAAACCGTTAAAGTGAAGAAATGCCCTCTAAAAGCAATCAAACAAACAAACAAACAAAACTACTAATAAGTCTAACACATCACTTTGGAAACATCACGTGTACCTTACAGAGATTGCAATCTAGGAGCTAGGACAAATGTGGATCTAAAATCCCACTGGAAACGAAATAGTCCTTGGGTGGCAACACCTACCGCCTGTAGAATGGCTTTACTGTGTCTGCGTGACAACATCTCTAAGGCGGTCAAGGCCTGCTCTGCCACATCAATACACTGAATGACCTGCAGCTGGGAACAAAAAAAAAAAAGGTAACGTAAGCCCATCATTCAAGTTCTTTTCTAGTCGCTTTTCTTCTACATGAATAAACAATATTTTCTCTAATTTCCATCAGTTTGTATACTACCTCTGACATGAAACCCACCATAGGAAACCAGTGATTTATGAGTGTAAGCTATAACAGACAGTCACTATCGTTTCCTTCCAACCACTCTGCTGTTTTAAGCCACAGAAAAATAGGTTTTCTGTAGAGAGTATGCTAAACCCAATTAAATGCCTGTAAATCTTTAAAATTTACGATAAACACGTGGTTTTATGTAGCAAAATTTAAAATTTAGCTTTTTCGCTTTATACCGTATTCCAAGGTTATCAAATAATGCAAATTTTATTATGCATTAAAAAGAAAAGAGGCCCTTAAAACAGACCAAAAACACAACCTACCACAGACCATATGAAAAAATTTCCTTTCTCCACTGACTCACTTTATGACCTTGAGCAAGGCACTTTGTCTGTCTCAGCCTTCTCAGCTGTAAATTGAGGGTATAAATAGCTATCAACCTCATTGGGATATTTTCTAGAATTAATGAGATTTTAATCAAGTGCTTTAAGTTCTTCTCTGAAAGATTTTATATTAACATGGTAAAGTGCTTCCGTTTAAAATTATAAAGCTGAAATGATTCTATAAATGCTTTACAAGCATCAACTTTAAACTACTGGTATGCTAAACATGAAATATTCTTCTGGAATCTTGGCTAAACAAAATACTTTGACTAGAAAAGTGACACTAAAAATATGTCCTTTAAGGTGGCCTTACAATCTGATGTACTACTTTAGAATTTAGAAGTCATGAGTCCTCAACTGGATTCCTCTACACCTGCTTCCAAATGAGCTGACAAATGCAGGGTTACCTTTTCTAAGAAGACGGGAATTGCATCTACTACAACAGCAGATGATCGAGGAAGTGCTTCCATCATGTATGTTAAGGCTCGACAAGCATGGTTCATCTGGAAAACAAGAAGGTACTTTTACTTGATAAGAAACGAAAATTTAAATTTGGGATATTCAAAAAAATACCACATACTTACAATATCGAAATTATGTTCCATCTGCAGTAATGTTATCTGTTAAAAAAGAGTATAACAAAGTGTTAGAAGCTATCTATGTTCTTATAAAAAAGCCCTAAAAGAACTGTTTCTTCCTCTATGTCAATGGGAATGGAAAGTATTATTCAAGACTTTTATCATACAAAAATAACATCAAGTTAAAACCTAGCATATACACAAGAAATGATTTACATTAAGGATGGCATGACTCATAGACTATAGCTCACTTTGGAACTCTGCTAGACAATAATCATCCCCTCTCATGATGCAGGTCAAAAAGAAAGCCTTCTTGTCACCTATAACCAACTGCTCTGGTACCTCTAGCCCCCCTTCAGAATCCATGGCATCAATAAATATTTAATACATAAATAAAAAGACCAGCAACACACCGACATCTGTTAACAACTGTCAGTACAGATTCAAGACCACTGCTTCATCTCCTGTAAATAAGCTTCTCTACATGTCAAACTAAAACACCATTTAACTCAGCTGTAATATACACAGTAGTCTTGAATTTAAACACAATATTGATGACATCAGAAACGAATTATGCACTAATTAAAACCCAAATTTATACAATTATTCTACAAATACAGGAGTTGAGTCTACATATTTTATTTTACTTTCTCTTGTAGAAAAGTCCTTAAGCAAATTTCAGTCATGTTTTTCAAAGGCAGGAATGCAAAACTTCTAAGGGTATATACATAAATTCTCCATCCTCCTGAAGCAGTCAAAATTACCAAAGTAATTTCCTATTTGGGGAAGCAATCTTTCACGGTCTTCTAGTTCTAAACGGAAAATTTTTAATGTGTACAATTTAAGCTATAAAGTACCTTTCAATTAAATATGTTTTTTGTACACACACACACACACACCCCATTTCGGGGCTCAATGGCACTCAAATCATCTACAACCAGTTTTAAAACACCCACTGTAAACTGAAAGGAATTGTTAATGTTAACAGGAAAGGAAACTAGTTCTCCAATTCTTAAGGTAGAATGAACCTTACACATCATGTATGGGAAAAATTCCTACAGACTCCTTATCACCAAAAATGACTAGTCACACAAGTGAATGGTGAAAGACGGATATATAATCATAGTATTCAATTATGATAAAAGATAAATCTGACCAATTTATTAACAACAGTCAGTATGAATAGCAAGAGCTGACTTGTGCAGGCCTTTTGAGCAGTTAAATCTAATCAACAGCCAGGAAATTAAGTAAATTAGATTATGTGTCAACAATTGTGTCTGGATTTAATAACTTCTTTATTCAACTAATAAAAACTGCATTTTAGATCACATAAGATAAACCTAGTACTTTGTGATTATTTTTTAATGAGTGGGGTGAGTGTGAATATTAACAGAGGCAAAATATAAAGATAGGAAAATGAATACTGCTTTTATTACACATTCAGAAATCAACATTCCAACCTCCAATTGAGTGGCACTGGTCACATTTAAGTTCTAGTTTTCATTACCCAGAGGTCTAAGTGGCAAAAGGTAAAGAAAGTGGCCCATCCTTTATCACCCCCTGCCAGAGCTGAACCATCCAACAAGAACAGACAAAATAAAGACTATATCTTATGTTTCAATGAGCTCATTCAACTGTCCCTACAATTTGAAAATGTGATCAAATGGGAATGATCCCATATCTCAACCAAATTTCTGCCAACTTTATTAGATATGTAATAAAGACTTAACATGATATTTAAACTTCCAAGATAAAATATGCTTAGTGTATTCATGATGTTTATGTTAGTCTTTTATTAGTACTTCATTTCTACTCAAATTTTAATTTTCAATTATACTCCGTTGCTTTCATCTTGAACTCAGAAAACTATCAAGCCACTAATTAAGACTCAGGGGTCCATATTTAGTAGCGGCAATTTCTCTTCCTGTTGTTTTTCCATTAAAAAGCTTAAGCAATTAAGATGTTAATAAATTCTAAACATCAACTCACAACCGTGTTGAAAAGTCACTAGAAGATTTTTTTGTTTTGTTTCTTTTATTTTTGCTTAACATCTAACCTGGAAGGATTCACGTGGTATTCTGGCTTGAATGCTCTGCTGTTGCCCATGATAATCAAACATGAAGCCTTTGTGGTCCACAAAGACAGCCCATAAGCAAGCCGCTTAGTACTGTGTACTACCAGGTTAAGAAGAGAAAACATGCCAATTTTGGCAAAGTCTAGGTCCTACCTGACTGGGCAAACAACTTAAAATTTAAGACCAGTCAATTGCGTATCAAAGATGAGTTACTACTTACAAGGAAGCAGTTTAGCTGGTATACTAATCCATTATTACAATCACTCACAAGATCTATAAGCACGAAGCCACACTCCGCTCTCTTAGTTCTACCATATTTTGTATTTTAAAATTCACAATGACGCTAACCGTGCTTTCAGTAGCATCGAGAGACCTAGGGTAGAATGAGGGGAAAAGTCTCTTACCAAAGCAGGAACGACACTCTTGACAGGAAACCCTCCCAGCGTCTCCTCATTTCCCATGACCAATAACTGACACATTTCGATAACCGCCTGGAGTTGCTGGCTTTCATCACTTGCTTGCAGTCCTTGCAGAAGCTGCTGGGCCTTAGAGCCTTCACAGGAAAGAAAATCATCATTTTCCAACACGTAAGGAAATGATTACCAGGTATAAGGTGAGACTCTACACGGTAGCTGGCTGCTTGTCCTCTTTAGATCCCCATCTAAGGCTGGATCTATCCCAGGGCTAAGACAGGCTGATGATAACTCAAGACTGAATAATTATTTGAATTTAGTCTACCTTAAGTGATCTCACAGTATTTATATATTTTTGTCTTTTAATTTTCCTTTTAAAATCAGACAAGTTGAAACAAAAAAATATCTGTAAGACTAATAGGAATTGTTAACTTTAACATATGTTTTTAAAAACCTGTTAAACTTTTAAAAAATGACAGGGCATCATTGTTTATTTCTTTTGAGAAAGGGAGAGAGTACGCGAGCAGAGGAGGGGCAGAGAGAAGGAGACAGAGAGATCCCAAGTGGGCTCTGTGATGTTAGTACAGCAAGGCCCGACGTGGGCCTTGATCCCACAAACCCCAAGATCATGATCTCAGCTGAAAACAAGAGTCAGATGCTTAAGTGATGGAGCCATCCAGGCGCCCCTGTGATGCCCTGTCTTAAAAGGAAATGCCACATACCTCTAAAGACCTGGTAAGAATAAATGGAATCCAGGTAACAGAGGGCAAGAAAACAAAGACAAACAGGGGTGCCTAGGTGGCTCAGTTGGTTAAACATCAGGCTTCAGCTCAGATCATGATCTCATGGTCTGTGAATCTGAGCCCCGTATCAGGCTCTGTGCTGAGAGCTCAGAGCCTGGAGCCCGCTTTGGATTCTGTGTCTCCCTCCTCTCTCTCTGCCCCTCCCCTGCTTGCGTTCTGTCTGTCTGTCTCTCTCTCTCCCTCTCAAAAATAAATATTTTAAAACATTTTTAAAAAGAAAAGAAAGACAAACAGAGCAATGCATCTAATGAAAGAGAACAGAGAGAATGAAGTAGTTCTAAAAGCAGCAAAAGACTGGCTTTTTCACCCTTTCTCCTTCCCTGTGCAGAGGCTGCCATCAGAGTTTGGGAAAGTACTTTTGCTTTTAAGGCTCAAACCCACTGCCCAAACAACTGAAAAACACTAAGATTCAACCACCACAGACAAAGACTTGTCAGTGAGCTAGATAACATATACTCAGAAATAAAGTGTGTTTCAAATTTTTACAACATCTTCCTACTTGTGAGCATGGTTAACGTGATTAATGCTTACCCAAGTATAACAGATGCTACTTTCAGGCCCTTTCTCTTCCTATACTTTTGTGTTTGGGATTTTCCCACTCCCATATTATTAATAAATGAAACAGCTTAGGAGAAGCACACATTTGGAAACTGTCCAATGAATGTGGAATTCATATGAAAACCAAAGATTTTTAAAAATTTTGATTAGGTTACAGTGATCTTCCTGGATGGCATAGCCTTTCAAAGGGGGACATGGCATCCTTGATATTTATTTTCTCTATTATGGAAGACTGTGGCTAATAAACTGGACAACTACTACTGCCTACATAACTTTAACATAACTATAAGTCAATTCAAAAATAGACTGTAAGAAAGTCAAATTCAGATGGCTGCCATCTTTAAAATTTTCCAACTAAATAGCATCGGTTCCAGTTAGAGCAGGCTAATCACTTTTAAGTTGAAATGTGAAAGGTAAAACAAATGAATGGAAAGTAAACTAATGAAAACAAAAGAATCCTCAGTGGCTTCTAGATTTGCTTTTCTTTTTTTTTAATGTTTTATTTATTTCTAGGAGAGACAGAGAGAGAGAGACAGTGTGAGCAGGGGAGGGTCAGAGAGAGAGGGAGTCACAGACTGAAACATGCTCCAGGCTCTGAGCTGGCAGTCAGCACAGAGCCCGACGCGGGGCTCGAACCCACGAACCACGAGATCATGACCTAAGTGAAAGTCGGACGCTTAACCGACTAAGCCACCCAGGCGCCCCTAGATTTGCTTTTCAAGGACGAAATAGCTCATATAGCACAACCACCTAAAATAGGAAAAACTGACACATGCCACCAGATGTCTTATCAACACAGATGCTGGCAATTCTAGGACACAGATCACGTTAGCATGATCACAATTATCGATAACTACTGGAACTTTAGGATGTTCCTAAAATAAGACCTGAAACCAAACCAAAAATGACAATAAAAAGCCAAAGCCATAATTCATGCACTGATCAATTCTGGTTTTAGAACCACTATGTACTCTTAAGAATTGCTGAGGAGCCCCAAAGCACTCCTGTTTATGTGGTTTATACCTGCTGATATTTACAAATGTGTCTGGAATTAAGTGAAAAATTTTAACTCTGTTAATTTATTACATATGAATATAAACAAAATTCTTGTGAAAACCACCATACTTTCTAAAACAAAAAAATTCAGAGATAAGTTTTCTGTTGCAAATCATTTAAATGCCAAACTTTACTAAAGAAAAAAAAAAACCCAACAACAACAAAAACCCAGCGGTATGACCGCTTCTGCATCTACTCTCAATCTATGGCAACACTGAGATGGAAGAATGTGGAGAGCATGGGCCCCACTTTTCACAGACTGTTAAAAAGACATGTACTTACTGGTAACGACTGGTATTAACTGGTAAAGACAGTTAATAACTCTGCTTAGCAAGGGCATCCTTATGTAAAAGATGGAATTATTTCACTAGGAGCATATGGCACTGGAAAACACAGTGACTGATAGTGTTGTTTGGAGCCAATGCTTTGATTCTTTCAGTCAAGCACCAACCGTTTTATCTACCACAGCTTTTGTACCATCCACAAAACCACAGGTTTTGTACAAAACGCAAAACCTTAGCGATTATTACTAGAGTTCTGACCTATGGATTCAACGTTAAGGTTTTGGGAACTCCCAGCAATCCACAGACCACACTTTGAGAACCGCTATCACAGATCAAGGGCTGGTAGGCAAACATTTTCTATAAAGAGCCAGATAGTAAATATTTTGGGCTTTGCAAGCCATAGGGTTTCTGTCACAACTATTCAACCCGAGCACAAAGGCAGAAACAGTCAATACATAAACAGGTAAGCACAGCTGTCTGTATTCCAATAAAACTTTACAAACACTAGAATTCGATTTTCATTTAATTTACACATGTCAGAAAATACTACTTTTAAAAGTTTTTCAAGCCATTTAAAAACATAAACGTCTTTTTTTTTTGGTTCACAGACTCTATAAAACCAAGCAGGAGGCTACATTTGGCCCTGGGGCAGTAGTTTGCCAACTGCTGATATGGATGGAGAACCCATAGCCCTTCTGGGAGTCACAGGAAGCTGATGTTTCCAACTGAATTGGTCCCACCAGACATGTGCTCAGTTCTGGAGCTGTGAAGAGGGCTAGGGACAAATCAGAAGTTTTGGTAAGACAGAACAAAACCTCATGCATTCTCATGGTGCTCCAGAAGAAAAAAGTCCCTACGGGGGGAGGAGGCCAGCCTCAAACACATACAGTCAGTGGGCACTACCCCCAAGACATCGACAGTATTTTCAAATTGCAGAATAAATGAAGTCTAAGTAGACAGAGATTTGCAACTTTCTCAGTCAACACCATGGGAGGGTCACAACATACAAACAGGGATAAGCCAGAGATATTAACAAGTCACATAAAAATTGCAGTTCTGGTCAAAACAAGGCTAAAGCCCTGATGGGAACACACTGATCAGCATCTGACCCTTAATGTTTAAATATAGAAAAGGGGAGGGGTGCCTGGGTGGCTCAGTTGGTTAAGCGTCCAACTTTAGCTCAGATCATGATCTCATGGTTCATGGGTTTGAGCCCCGCGTCGGGCTCTGTGCTGACAGTTCAGAGCCTGGAGCCTGTCATTGGATTCTGTGTCTCCTTCTCTCTCTGATCCTCCCCTGCTCGTGACGTCTCTCTCCAACTCTCAAAAATAAATAAACATAAAATGTTTTAAATACAGAAAAGGGGAGACCTTTACAGAAGAAACCTCATTTGGAGTTTCTTCAGTTCTTTTATACAAAATGTTTAGCACATAAATAACTACTAGACACAGGAAGAGGCAGGAAAATATGACAGATAATTAAGAAAGAAAAACGGAAACAGACCAACACCACCACTGAAATTTGCAAAGTATTTATTTTTTAATCTTTTCAATTTACTTTTGAGGAAGAAAGGCAGAGTGTGAGCAGGGGAGCACAGAGAGGGGGAGGAGACACAGAATCTAAAGCGGCCTCCATCCAGGCTCTGAGCCGTCAGCACAGAGTGCTACATGAGGCTTAAACTCACAAATCTGAGATCATGATCCGAGCTGGAGTGGGATGCTTAACTGACTGAGCCACCAAGGCACCCCTAATTCGAAAACTATTTTATAACAATGATTAATAAACTGCAAATATAACCAAAGATGGACAACATGAATAAGAATATAAAGCATTTCAACAGAAAACCAGAATGTACAAAACAAAATCAGTTTTACTAAAAGATTAAAGATTACAGCAGAAAAAAGAATTAGTGAAATCTGAAAACTGGTCAATAGAAAAGTTTTCAAACTGGACAAAAAGGAAAAAGTAAAATAAAATATAGCCAGAGAAACACGCCAGATGAAGCCCAAAGTCTGAACATGTATGATTTTGATACTCCCAGAAGGAAAGGAAGAGGAATATAGCAGATCATGAGATAAGAGAAGCAATATTTCGTGAGATAATGGCCAAGAATTTTCCAAACCAGTGAAAGATATCAAACTCACAGACTCAAATGCTCGGTGAAACCTAAGCAAATTAATCACTAAGACTAATAGTCAAACTATTGAAAATTAATATTAATGTGAAAAAAACAAATCCTAAAAGCCAGAGGAAAGAAGACATTGCCTTGAAAGGACACCGACACCAGTAAGATTTTTAAATAGCAACTACTGATACCAGAAGACATTACAAAGTGCTAAATGAAAATTTTATGCCTGGGGAAAATATCTTTTCAAAATTAAGGCAAATCAAGGATTTTGCAAAAGCAGAGAAAAATCATTACTAGCAGTCATTCAGCACATCAAAAAAAAAAAAGTTCTTCAGGCTGAAGGGAGACCACTCTGACTAAAAGAGAGAAACTGGAAACTGGAGGAAGGAATTAAGAGCCCTGGAGATGGGCTGTATGTGGGCTAACACAAGAATATGGGTGCTCTACAACAAAAATTTGGTCTTACTTTGTTTACTAACACATGTATAAGTAAAACAAATCAAAACAATCACATAGAGGATGGCAGGAGACAAAAAGAGGGAAGCTGTTGTACTTCTTACGTTGTTTGGGTTATCTTAAATATTAATATAAGGTTGGCTAATAAAACAAGGACATACGTTAAAATCTCTACAGTAACTACTAACAGAAGTCTACAAGGATACACAACTAAAAAGTCAGCAGAAGAAAAAAAAAATGACACCACAGTGTTTGTTAAAGAAATACAAAAAGGTACAACTTCAATAGAGGCTGATTTACACTAATCGATCCTAGAGATAAGGCAGGAAAAATACAAAAGCTGTGTTTTAACTACTGCAGCACAATGAAGACTGGAAATGACCTGAATGTCCAACAGGGGACATGCTAAGTAAACCTCAGCAGCCCCCCCCCACGGAGCACTGTGGCAGCTTTACAAAAGGAATACAGGGTCAACTCTCCCTTCTCTATGCAGCAGCTATAGAAAGTGAACAGCAATGTACTGTTAAGAGCAACATAAAGTATATAAAGTTTACTACTCTTATCTTAAAAAGGCAGAGTGGGTGGAATAGATAATATGAATTTGTTTTTGTTTTCTAAAGTAAATAATAGAAGGACAAGCCATAAAATTAACAAAGGTTAGTTGTGTGAAGGAGGAAGCAGGGCAAAGGGATCGCAAAAGAAGATAAGACGTCTCTAAAAATACCTTATTTATAGATTTGACGTTTTAAAGCATGTGAACACCCCAGAAGTATAAAACTGAAGTTAAAATTTAAAAGCAATCTCTAAGAGTTAAAAGCAACACAAAGCAAATGAACCAAACGAATGTGGCAGCCTGAATAAAGAAAAGCAATCATTTCAAATTACTTTAAAATCCAAAAATTTGACCACAAAGTGAGTCCCGACAAACACCGATAACAAAAACTGTTCAAAAATTAAACCGTTCTCATTCATACTACTTTTGGTGTTAAGGTGAACGTTTGTACTGTAGGAGAAAGCAAACAAATGACTATGTTATTATCACTGGGAACGGGAATTTGTGGCATGGGAGATACAAGATAAAGAGAAGTAAAAATCTTGCAGCTCTAAATTTGAATTGGCATTACAAGTAGGAACTCCTTATTTTTATTTTAAAAGACAGAATACAATTACTTCCCAGGTTTGTTCATTACAAGTATCCAATAACAATGATCATCCAGGTACAAATGAATATACCTAGACTCTAGACTATGGGCTCTAAATACTATTTCATGAAAAAGAAACCACGGCGCTCTGAGAACACCCCTAATTTCAGATATTTGGGGTGGGGGCGGAACCTGACATATCAGAGAGGAAGGAAGTTAACAAAAACTACTGAGATTATATCAAAAAGATTCAGAAGCCAACCTCAAAAAGGTGCCATCACCCAATATGACAACTTAATCAGTAAAAATCACAGAAATGTCTGAAAACTTGTCTCCACTTGACAATGACATTTAAAAACCACAATGGCAGTTTGGAGGAAGCAAAAACCAACTACTTTCCAAACTGGCAAATAACGGTGAGGAAACCAATTTTCCCTATACTATTCTCCTATGTAACAGAAGGAAGATATTCTTAATATATTTGTACTTAAAAACCACCTACTTTTACTTCTAATAAATGAAATCTGTTCATCAGATGTGCAGTACTATCATTTTATAATCCCTGTCATCTAGAAACTGAGTTTTGATGGCATAAGAGACAACCAGACTTTAAGTGCCTCCTAGTATTACAACCCACTACCACTTCTGCATAGTCTTTCCCCACCAAGGGACTAAACAATCAAACTTGAATCTTAAAAATCTTCTGGGGGGGTGCCTGGGTGGCTTAGTCGGTTAAGCGTCTGACTTTCGCTTAGGTCATGATCTCGCGGTTCGTGGGTTCGAGCCCCACGTCGGGCTCTGTGCTGACTGCCAGCTCAGAGCCTGGAGCCTGTTTCAGTCTGTGACTCCCTCTCTCTTTGACCCTCCCCTGCTCATGCTGTCTCTCTCTCTCCCTCCTAGAAATGAATAAAACATTAAAAAAAAAAAATCCTCTGGATCCAGCTACCAGTTTAGATGGAGATGGCAACTTGACTCATTAGACAGAGATTATTAAAGGAATCACTAGTTTATTTTGGGGGTATGATAATGATAATCTAGGGGTGTGTCTGTGTGTCTGTTTTAAGGCACATTATCTTGAGCTACATGATAACATGTTTATAGGTAATATTATATAATGTCTGGGATTCATTTCAAACAAAGTGGGATAAGGGATGTGGGTAAAGGCTGGCCATGGAGTCGGCAGTGCTGAAGCTGGGTCACAGGCACAGGGAGGGGTATAACACTTCTTTCTACTCTGGTTCTAATCTATGGTCCACATTAATTTCATGTACAGTGGTCAACCTTTGATATGGGTCTAAGATATTTTAATATTCAGGCAGCCCTGAAACATGTTTTCTTCCCAGCCTTCTCTAGGGAATAAATGAAGTGGCAAAATAAATGAATCAAATTTCTCTCAAGAGGAGGGGAAAAAAAAAGAACTTAAGGAACACATCAACTGATGGCAATGTACAGATCATATTTTGGTCCGGATTCAAATAAAAGATTTAACTGGATTTCTGAGAGGCCTAGAGCATTTGTGCTCTAAACAGGCACTTCGTAAAAGTAAGGATTCCTCTTAATATAACCACAACATGGTCTAAAAACTTGTGTCCTTGTAGTTACAAATTCAATGACATGCAAATAAAATGATGCCTAGGACTGCCTGAAAAAGAATTTGGGAGGATGGCTGAGAACGTAACTAAAACAGTTGCTGTGGACTGGTAATTGCTGATGGGTTCATGGAGGTTATTCTACCCCTATACTCTCAACTTTGGGGTATATTTGATCATTTCCAAAATAAATATGTCCTTCCCCTTTCCTAAATCCTTCAATAAGTATGTCCTAAATCCTAAATCCTTCGATGGTTCCTGAGTTCACATACTGGGTTAAACCCCACGCTCACCCGTGGCCTGCCAAGCCCTACATGACCGAGCAAGTATCTATCCCTCACAGACTTCATCTTCTAACTCTTAACTCTTTCCACAGGCCCCCCCTTGTTATTTCTCCAACATGCCAAGCTAATTCCCACCTCCCATGGTGCACTTCACCTCCCCTCAGACGCGTCTGGGGCTGGCTTCCTCACTTCATTTAAATATCCACAAATTGAGCCTGCCTCGGAGAAGGTTTTCTCTAACCAGCCTTCCTATATCCTCTCACCAGCAAACATACATCCTTGTTTTGTTTTCCTTCACTGCACTGGTACTACCTGAAGTTTTTCTGTAGGACAGCTGTCTTCCTCACTGCCAGGGTCACCTTCTAGCAAGGACGCTCCACATGGGAAACAACTCTGTGTATTATCCCGTTTATGATTCAGAACAATCCCAGTACCTAATAAATGACACTAAATCAAAATCCTCACTAAGGAGTTCGTGAGAACTTTGCAAAAGGGCACATTATCTGAGAGCTGAGTGTTAGGGCAGCAAAAGCAAAACCAAACCAAACCAAAATACCAGCTGCTTCTTAAATTTCCTGTCAAATGCTGCGGCCAGAAACTTGAAAAGGACTTAAGTATAAATACACATATGTGAGCATATGTCTGCACACTGCATTATGTTAAAAGAAAAACAAAGTAAAAAAACTTAGAATACTTGATGGAAAATTATATGAGCACGTATTAGTAAGGTCAGAGTTAATAGGCTTCGGTTAACACTTCAGAAATTTTAAAGTTAATCAAGACTGAAGTTTAAAAATAGCCTGCTGATTCTATGGAAAACATTATCAATGTAGTTATTAAAAAATGCTTAAATGCAAATTTTGTTTAAGGAAGCTAAAGATAGTATTCTATACCAGAAAGAATGCAACTGGATTTGTAATTATGCAAAAGTTATTCTTGTTACAAACTGCCACTTCAAGAGTCACTGTTTTGTCTACCATATATGACAAGATCTCTGGATTATAATATGTTAATTTGATTAAATGAGTCTAGCGACTGGTAATTCTGCTGAGAAATCTTTTCTCTAAAGCTCAGCTCTACAACTGACTGGCTCGTGGATTAAATTTTATTATGCCACAAAAAATTCAAGATTCAAATCTATGCAAATCATGCAATCAGATGCTATAATATAATCAATGCAATCATCCGAGATTCTTTACTATCCTAGAGTTAAACAAAGATCCAATCTTGACATAAACTCTGGATGGTTTTCTAACGATTCCAATTCTGTAATCAAAAATAAAAGTACAGAAGAACTTCTAGTTGCTATATTTAAAGGCAAGAATATGCACAAGCCCCATCTTTTTTTTTCTTTTTTGTAAAGCAGGTTAATGCTCATGAAAAGCTCCTTATATGAAAGCCTCTTTACATCAAGAGATAAACAGTAAAAACAGCACTCAACTATTTATTGAAGGTTTTGGAGGGGGAGGGCAAATTCAAAAGTATTCACTTACTAGCTCCGCTTCCAATTGTTCTATGGAAAAGCTGTGACATCCGAGGACCAAGAGGGCCAAAGAGATGAGGGGGAAGACCTCTGGCCTCTAACAAAGCTAAAGAAAAAAGAAAGAGAGGAGGAATAGTTGAATTATGAATGCAGTTGTTCTTACCTCAAGATTTCAAGCAACTGATCCATCTCACATAACTCACTTAGACAGTGTTACTTCCCATTTCTAACTTAAACGACATCAAACTTTTAAGATCATTCTTAAATGTTAGTTAAGATAAGTTACAACACCCATATGCTGCTCCATGGCATCTTAAGGCTTTATGGAGATACTAAATATTAATGCCAGAAGGGAATCTATCAAATGATCCAAGAGAAACCCAGAGTAAATATTTATTTTGAAAAAATTACAGGCTAAGTACCTTTCTGTTGTTTTCCCTCAAATATATTTACCAATCAGACACTGGTCATGAGATCCTCTGAAAACATAAAAAATTATTTTTATAATGTCCATAAAGAGAAAAAATGGGCTCACAAGACTTCTAGTCAAAAAGAGACTGCTGTCTAAGTTACTTTAGGAACTTAAAAGTGATCTGAAAGTGATTTATAAATAATGTTTCTTATAAGCCTCACACCAGGGATCTATCATATAAACCAACTGTCTGAAGATAATAAAAATACATACCCACCCATTTGTAAAGAGCGTATACATAATATAAGGTTGCTTCCTCAAAATCACAACATTAAAATACCTGGTGTTGATGTATACAGTTTCCATTCATTTTTAAATAGCTGACCAAGAACACAAAAGAACACAAAAACATCCCACTGGATGCATTATGTTATCAGGTACCGCAGAGCAATATACTAAGCTATCCCCTTTTCAAGATCTTCCTTAATTTATTATCAGCTTATACAAGCAAACATAATAAAGAACATTTAAAAACAAAAAATAAGCATGTAAGATTTTTTTTAAACAGAAAAATAACAAGTGAGACAGATCATCTTCCAAATCCAAACCATCGCTAAATAAGCAGCTTTTTCTGGAAGTATAGGCATTGCTAGATTAGGTTTAAATGAGCTTATCTAAATTAATTTCAACAAAGAACAGAAGTAACAGGCAGCCTCTGGTAATGGCTTCTTGTTTCTTATAAGCTCATTAACCGTCTTTACCTTGTAATCGTCCCATCTCGGAATCATCGGATTCACTCTCCCCAGAGGTGGTCATGCCCACAGCCCCTGCAACAGAACTAGAAGCTTCAAAGGGAGGAGAAAAAGAAGGTGAGGGTTAGGAGAGAAATATTCAAACTTACTATGTCTGGTTTATCTTAAAAAAAGAAAAAGTTTTACGGACTACAGCGAATCAAGGCAATTAATTGTGTCTGCCCACTGCACACTCAACTGTTCTTCTAGAGGTCATCCTGTAGCGTTTATGAACAAAAAGATGGCTCAACTATCTTGTGTTCAAGAAGCATAAAAATATAGCCTTTACATTTCATTCATACATGGCTTTGGCAGACTCCTCACGCCTCTGACACTGTTCCTAAATTAAGTCTTGCCCTGAACTCATCTACCAAAAGTCCATGAAGGTCATGTTGCCAAAACCACTGTGATATTTAATAGATGGGCAATTAGTCACAATCAGAACAGAAAGCAAAACTGAGGTTTGGGGAAAATGTTCCGTGCAGATGTGTGTCTTCTTCGGTCTTACTTATTTCTGGACTGCAGTCTTGACACAATCACTCACGTGTTTTAAGGGCGTGCAGATTGCATACTTACTTCCAGGACAAAATATTGAAGATAACACATTACAACAAACAGCAAAGCACTGAAGTACAAAAGAGAGGATAGCTAGGGCGTGAGAACAAGTGCAGGACAAAAACAGTTCAGATTTGGAAGGATTCTACTCCCCAGAAAGCTGAGCAGAGCAATGATTCGGTCTACGAAAGAGAAAGGTTGAGTCTATTATGAGCCTGCCTGGATGGAACCATAGTCCTGTACGACCAGCAGTTCTTCTGTCCCTCCTCTCCATGTCCGCTGAGTCTTTAAGCAGTTTTTCTACACAATTAACCCACGTATGACCACATTATCCACAACACCCTAAGCCCAGTACACTTGCCGGAAAATGACAGGTCAGCCCAGCACAATGTTTTCAGTTGTTAAAAGAAGCACATGGATAACATGTGAATTTACAGAGCTTTTTTCTGAAGAGATGCTAATATACCAGCCACCAACTGTGTATTTTCTTAATAGTTTTCCTCACACCTCACTAAGTATCTTCTATGATTTCACTGGGATTTTTAGAAAATTCATCAAAACCTCTGTGATTTAAGAATGATAAGAGTCCGCAAACTGTGGCCCACGGGCCATATTCAATCCAGCACATCATTCTGTCAATAAAATTTTACTGAAACACGGCCAGACTCACCCTTATTGTCTATGGCTGCTTTCATGCTACAACCACAGAGCTGGGTGGTCCCAACAGAGCCGAAATAAAGCCTGAAACATCAACTCTCTGGCCCCTTTACAAGAAGGGTTAGCAACCTCATGGTTTATAGTTATAGGTGAACCAGAAATGCTAATATAAAAGGGTAGACAAAATCCATACTTGGGAGGAAGGAAAAAGAAAAAGTAACCGTACTGTATAATGCCACCTATACATGGCATGTATGACATGTTCGCCGTACACAGGCTGTGTCTTGTTTCCTCACAACCATACAAGCAGGTACTGTGAGCTTTCTCACACACATGAGCAAACTAAGGCCTTGTGCGACTTGTAATGCACTTGCTCAAAGTCAGACAGCTAACAACAGAGCAGAGATTCGAGCACAGGTGGTGTGACTCTTCATACGCTGTTCTCAAGTCCTGCACTCTAGTGGCCCCCTGAACATATTCTGCAGTACTAAGTTTTTTATTCCAGTACAGTTCCTTCTTCACATTAAACAGAAATCTTCTTAACAGATACTGTTATTAAGGTCCCAATTATAACTTTATTTGTTAAAGTGACTCTTATGCTTGCTTTTAAACTCTTCCAATTATGTGGAGAGCAAACAAAAAGCTTTGACAAATGAGGTAGTTGGTTTTTTAATGTACATAGTGGTACCACACCTTTAAGAAAAAACAAACAACAAAATTTCACTTGGGAAGGTAATGCTGGTTTCCTTAGTTTCTGTATTAGAGGGTCACCATGAGAAGGAGCAAGGATATTCTGATTTTTCATGGAGGTGGAAGGCCTGTTTTGACAGAAATCAGTCACTGAACCTATAGGAAAAAAGATCCCTCTCCAGCCCACTGAAGGCAAGTGTTAATCATTACTATACTGAAGTTACCTGTAAGTACTGCTAAGTTAGATAGCCTGACTAGCCTGGTCTGTGAGAAGCAATCTGTGAAGTCATGAAGGTAAGGAAGTGTCATCAACCAATAGTCAATGACAAAGTTCTTTAGTCAGGGCGGCAAACCTCCTTGGACAACATGCACAAGATCTCTCCTGATACAAGACCATCAAGCAGAAAAAATCTGATGCCAGATTTTAAGAGGTGTCCATCTTTTATGATGTTGTTTACACCAGTTATCTCCCCCCCATCTACTCTTAGTGTATCTTCACAGGACTGCAGAAGACAGTTTCGAATACACAGCTAAGTGAAAACAATGGAAAAAAATATTGGTTATATTAGAACAAAGAAATTTATCCCAGAACTCCACATTTTTATACTTTAACTGATAAAGTCTCTTATGCAGAAAGAAGTGATAAAATATTAGGAAGCTGACAGAATTCAATTTTACTTGACTGGAGCCTCTAAGGGTTCACCAGCTGCCTAAGTACAAGACGCAACGGGAAGAAGACTTTTTTTTAAGAGTGTAATGAAAACTTCTGAGGGGGGGCCAAAACAGTAACTGTCAGTAATGTAACTCTGCCTTATATAGGCCCTGGTAGCAGGCGATATGAAAGCAATCTAATCTTTAGTGATTCTAAACAAAAGTAATTAGGAAGATAAAAACTTACAAAACCGGGTTTGTTTGTTTTTAAATGAAATGACCCTGTTTATTTGTTGTGAAATTAAGATTCTCAATGCAAAATCAGGTGCCAGGCCATGGGCTCTTTTCCTTGACATCTGATTACTTTGCAGGTGTAAGGAAGAATACTTCTCACTGTAGTGTCTCTAGTATTTGCAAGACTTCACCAGCACTATGAAAAGGTGCACAGTTCTGACAAAGTCCAAAAAGAAAGCCTCTAACTCGAGGGAAAATATGGGGAACACTTAACTTTCAGCTCCAAGAGCTAGCATCTCTTCTATGAAGAGCCAGAGAAGCTGGGCTCCAAAGAACAGTATGCTTTCATGTGACTGGGCAGGCACACCATTATCAACAGATTTCCCAAAGGGTCAACAACACTGATAAAGTCAGGGTGATATGAGCAAGTCTGCCCAAGATGGAGCAATGTTTTGTTACTACATGCATAAAAAGAAGTATGTTTATTTTACTAACTTTATTGAAATAGGAAGATGAAATCTCTGTAAATAAGTAACACTGGGGGGCGCCTGGGTGGCTTAGTCGGTTAAGCGTCCGACTTTCGCTTAGGTCATGATCTCGCGGTTCGTGGGTTCAGGCCCCGCGTCGGGCTCTGTGCTGACTGCCAGCTCAGAGCCTGGAGCCTGTTTCAGTCTGTGACTCCCTCTCTGTCTGACCCTACCCTGCTCACGCTGTCTCTCTCTCTCTCTCCTAGAAATAAATAAAACATTTAAAAAAAAAAAAAATAAGTAACACTGGGATAAAAACCACATAAAAACATTGAAGAAATTAAACCAGTCTCCTTAAATTAATAAAAACATTATTTCAAAATAAATGTTTCCAATAAACAGAGTCTTCTATCAACTGTCTAAGAGCTATGTGAGAACGGATGCTTGCCAAAAGATGCTTAAGTTACCACCAAGGATTGATATTCCACGCTAAATTAGAGGGTTTTATTTTCCTTTGAATTCCAATTTTACATACTGAGAAACTAAAGCACACTGCACTGAAGAACTGAAGATAAAGCTAATAAGGAATTTGCCTCTTTCCGCAGCACCACTGTAGTAAGCTGGCAGAGGATTATTCCTGCAGGATCCATAAGGCATCCTGCTTCCAAAATAAAATGAACTAGTACTGCTCAAACACCAGTCAGAGTGCCACACGCGTCTTTTACATAAACATGGAAAATACCTAGATCACACTGTGATTTCAAGTATGAACGACAATGAACATGAGCCTTTGGGGGGCAGTCTTACCCACCTAATCCCTTGGAAGGTTTTATCCTCTTAGGTAAATACCAGGGATCAAAATTTTACACACCACCCCCTCACCCTGGCTTCCAATTATATCTGTATGAATTAAACAAACTCTCGTGACTATGGGGGAAGTAGAATGAAACAGCCTTTACAAATGTGCCCTTACTTTTGAAAACCTGGATTTGGGAGTCCCACACCTCCAGGCAAGATTAACCACTATGTCTCAGTTTTCCTTGTTTCTAAAATGAGAATACCACTCACACCTCAGCATATTGTTTTGAATATTAAAAGAGAACATATGTAAAGTGCTTAATACTGTGTCTACAACAGCGTGCACTCTATAAACGTTAGCTATGACTATTACTGTAATGAGTCCACTTTAACACCATGCTCAGCAGCTCCATTTGTGTCGTCCACATGGGAATTGCCCCACTTCCATACGCAGATATGAAATAAACATTAAAACATTGAGAAGCAGAGCCCAAGTAAGAGTTTCAACAAGTAAGAGTTGTATGTGCAATGGACTGGACTTTCCCTCCAATTTAACCCTTCGGAAAAACTATTCTAAAGAAAAAGCACATGAAAAAAATCCCCTCCTACCAGAAGAGGTGCTTCAAGTTCATGGTTCCATTTATCATACAAAACCAGGAAAGACAGTGGTAAAAATATTAAGGCGGACAGAAAGAAGAGACAAAAAGCACAAACCATGAACAGCGGTGGGCAAACCAGAAGCTACCTGGTAAACTAGGACGCAGGCTCCACCCCAGGGATGAGAGAGAGAACTAGCACATATACTAACATGACAGTAAAAGTGCCCTGTTAAAAAGTAGGTACATACCTACACCTAAACCCGTGTGTATCATTCTGACACAAAGGGCTCATCACACCCATGTTCATAATGATGAACTGCAACATTTCTCCATCTGTCCTTAATGTTAGTGAGAAAGGCTCACAAGCTACATTTTAAAACTTTCAGCCACAAAACCTCTGAAGTATTAGTCTCCTACTCATCCTGGTGATCAATACATATTTAAAGCTGAAAGGGGTGGAGGCAGCCTAATTTTTAAGAAAATTGTGCTGAGATATCAAGAATAAAAATAAGCCCATGAAAACATAAATAGCATTCTTCAAGTTCCTTCCAAATGGAATACTTCTTACTTTTTAGAGGTTACAACATATGCTACATCAAAATTTACACATATATGAAGAAGCAATTTAAGCCATATCCTTACATTCTGATTATAAACTCAGATTTTCACACAAACAATGGGCAACTATTGTATGTCCACAAGGATAGAGAAGAACCTTAAACAGAGGTTGACTTATCTTACCTAAAAGGTAATCATTACAAACTTGGATTTGGAAAAGAATTAGGACAAAAACAAATGAATCCAACTAACCAAAAAAACCAAACCTGTAAAGTAAAGCAAAAGAGAACCAAAAGCATATTTGATGGTAACATCGAGTATATTTCTGTCCCCTCTCTTGCATTCTATTTGGTACGCCTACAAAGCAGTTGGTATCTAAATAAATCTGTAAGACACATAAATGCATCTTGGGGCTAGAAGTGCCGATCTACCTGCAGCTCCCTGGGGGGTTTCATCTGTCCGCGCAGCTGAAGAATTGACGGTCTCCTGGTTGCTTTCAGGGTCCGCCATTTTCTCCTGCCGACGAGCTTCAGCTGCTCCTCTTTTGCCCAGGCCAGAGCCTCGCCGACTGCAACAGAAAAATGCCATCATAGGCGGCACTACCAGTGACCAGGAGCAATGTCCACACAGCACAAAGCTCCAATGCATGAAGCACAAAGCCAGTTTCTTCTTTTTACATAAAAATTGTTGCAGAAAATCACTATGGGTAACAACCAAGACTTTGTATATTTAAAATCCTTCCAAGTTACGTCGCATTCACAATACGTGCTTTTGTGTTGCTATGAGCTGTGGTCATCCTTACGGACAGAAATGATTTTTAAACACTTCAACTAAATGGAAGTCACTCCTGCTGAGAGAATTCAATTCATCTGAAATAGATCCCTACTTTCAGCTAAATAGTGGATCAATATACAGACTTTACACTTGACAATGAGGGGGAAGGAAAGTGGAAAATGTGGGGGGATTCCCATCACTTAAGTTCCAGAAAACTTTAATCATCAACAAAAAATAACTATCCTAATAATGAGCAAGAGTTCCACCCTTTAAAATAAAGAATTAAAAGGGCGCCTAGGTGGCTCAGTCGGTTAAGAGTCCGACTTCAGCTGAGGTCACAATCTTGCAGTCAGTGAATTCGAGCCTCGTGTTGGGCTCTGTGCTGACAGTTCAGAGCCTGGAGGCCACTCGGATTCTGTGTCTCCCTCTCTCTCTGCGTCTCTCCCACTCCCACTCTGTCTCTCAAAAACGAATAAGTGCTAAAAGAAAATTTTAATATATAAAATTTAAAAATTAAAGATTTAATATTTATAAATACATACAGATAACATCGAGGAAGACACTAGTTTAGGATTAAGTCACAGTGTAATATGCATCAACAATATCGACCAGTCATTTCTCATAGAGCAAATAACATTTTATTGATGACAATTTCTTCTACTTTAAAAGAGAAATCAGTAAGCAAATCAGGTAAAAACAAAAGATTTCCCCAGACTATTACAACTTGGTATTGTTTAAATACGCAGTCCTCCAAAGTACCTTAGGAAATGAAGAAACACACTTACTAAGGAAATGTTTTAGACCAAAGTCAACCTACAGTGGAATTAGATACTGGCTAGTCAAGAACAAGAAAGCAGCAGGCGTAAGTGACAGGGAATGAAGGCTCTGAACTTCCAGACAGTGCGAGATGAGGCTGTAATCTTCCCTACACAGGGATTTGCTTAGCCAATCTTTTCTTCCACAGAACAGCTCACTGCAAACCCAACTTACCAAGCCACCAATTAGTGGGATTCAAATTAATCCATGTATTTAACATTCAATTTGTACGAGCCATGTGACACACACGGTGCTGAACACTGTGGCTGCTGCCCTTCAAGGAGTTATAGTCTAAAGAGATGGGGATGCACCTGTAGCAGGCTCTGAGAGCACTAAATTCAAGAAGCATCTCAACTAATTTAGAAAAAAATTCAAGATGAAGAGCCTTCCAGGCAGGTGGCTAGCTAGCTTGTGTAGAGTATCACCATGTAAATTGTAAGTAACTTCACATGCGCTAAGAAAGCGGTCATGAATAGAAGGGAGCAAAGACGGGACCCTAGATTATCTGACTTCCCATCAACTTAAAATTAATTTTCAACCACAGTGAATTCAGCTTACTTCTCAGATTATAAACTCTGGGTAAAAACTGGATTCAAAATCTAGCCCAAAAGAAGACAAAAGCTTTGAGGATCTAAAACATTTTCTCAAAAGAGTTCTTGTAAAACTATGGCCAAGAAACCTCAAAAGCAAACAGGTACACTAACTCCACAGATTTTAACTAGTACTTTAAATAATCTAGATAGAACTAGAAAATAAGAAGAAAAACAGAGGTTAAAGTGGCAAGAGTCCTTTTCTTCTGACTTGCAACAAGTTACAGTTTCCTTACGTCACTACCGGACCTGGCACTGAGAGCAGTCAATGTCACTTACCTTAGAGGGGAAACAAAAGAAGAGCTAAACCCTTTTAGCTCGACTGAGGGAGGGTAGGGGAAAAGAACACCGAAATCCTCTGCCTCCACCACTGTTTTGTGACACACTCTGTAGAAAGAACGAACTAAATATAAGAGAGGGAGACGTTCTACAGGCTGTGAATAATTAGCTGTACAATTGTGGGCATCGTAACAGCAGACCAAGCCCCAAAATGTGAGGCAATATTGAGAAAAAAATTTTTAACTTTAACTGCAGATTCTTAATCAGTTAATAAAAGTATGTGAAATAATGCACTGTGTCACACAAAGGTAGTGGATTTCCTGAAAAAGAGATCCCATGCAGCAACTGGGGGAAACAGGACCTGGAGTCCTGAAAAGCACACACACAACTACACCCGGCCTCCAGGGGTGGGTGTCGTCATACGCAGGAAGCTGGAGCACCGCTCTCCCCGCCCCCATTCATCCAACTCACGTGGTGCCCACATTTCCAAAACCTAATCAGGCAATATTACAGCCATTAAAACAGGCATCCCTTTTGATCCTTTAATCACACTGCTGGAAAATTTAGCTACCTCTAAAAAATAACCCAAATCTGCATAAAGATGTTCATTAGAGATTTACTGGTCGACTGAAACTATGAAAACAACCTAATGTCCAACTACGGCCAATAACTCTGTGAAAATATTGCAGCAACAGAAGAAATGGTAGACTGTAAGAGTGTTGTCAAAAAAATAGCATGAGGGGCGCCTGGGTGGCTCTGGCCGTTATGTGTCCGACTTCAGCTCAGGTCTTGATCTCCGGTCTCGGGGGTTCGAGCCCCGTGTTGGGCTCTGTGCTGACAGCTCAGAGCCTGGAGCCTGCTTCAGATTCTGTGTCTCCCTCTCTCGCTCTCTGCCCCTCCTCAGCTCACATGTGGAGTCTCTCTCCCTCTCTCAAAAATAAACATTAAAAAAAAATTCTGTAAATGAGCATGAATAAAGCTTGGCAAAAACATATAAACATTGGGGAAGAATTCATTTACATAGGACAAATAGATGTCAAGTGAAATTTCAATAATTTTTGAAAGCTTATCAAGAGAAGGACTTTGATGAAAAGTGGAACAGAAGACAGTGAGCTGATCACGGACTGGAAGCCCCATGTGTTACCTGGCACTAGCACAGGAGCCCGTGGTCTTTTGGCGTGTGCTCCGCCTCAAACTGGGGAGCTCAGCAGGTGGGGATTCACTGCGCTTCTTGGTAGATTTTCTTAAACCTGTACACGGGAAATGCAAAACACACTTTTTAAAAAAGTTATCATAAACTAAAAAGTACAAAGTTCTTCAGGTCAAAAGCATCTTCCATGGCCTTTCTAGCAGTCTACTAGGGTCACTTCACAGTTTGCCTTTACTTACCGTGACTCAAGCTCTGCCATACCACGAGTGACAGTACTTCTCTCATCCTGTCCTGTTACATGTTCTGATCACAGCTGTATTCCTCCACTAACCAAGCCAGGAAATTTTTTTTTCTTTTTGCACTTACCATATATTTCAGGCTTTTACTAAATTTAAAAAATTTTCTGAATTTCATTCTCACTCGTTAGCACTTTATTACATGGCCTTTAAACTGTCCCATTTCATCTAGTTTATATACAGCTCATCAATTAAGACTACGAGAGAACAAAATGCTTTCTTTTCTTTACACCACCCCCATCTGCAAGGGATATACACTGAAGCTGAAGGTTATTAGGATTTGCAATATACAGGTAACTGGATAATTCGGGGTCAAAGTAAGTCAAACACACTTTACATGTCATTCTCAAAGCTAACTGATAATGGTTACAGGGTTACCAGAATCTAAAAAGTTACAGCATTAGGTTTGTTACTATTTTATAAACAATGGTAAAGCAATCGGAGCGCTGTCCCCCACCATGTTACCATACATGATGACACACTGGGCAGTGTACTCCATCTAAACAAAGATCTCCCAAGAGTGAAAGGTCTCCAAGGTCAAAAAGCCTATTTCCAGAAGCATAGCATCATCTGAAAGAGTTGTTACCTTTTCCTGAGACTAATTACATAGTAATAACAACTCTCTAGCTTATTTATTATTTCCCCCATTATTTCTAACATTTTTGACCACTTCACTGCTTCAACGTAGAAAAGATCAGAAATTCCTTACTCTTGTGATAAAAACACCAGTAATGGTCTGGATAAGAGGTGATGAAAAAAATTCCAGACATCTTCTTGGGCTTTTAGCTGCTTAAAACTTCAGTGCATTCAACTTGGGATGGTCCCCATATCACATATAATGAAAGCTGCTAAGAAAAGCACACTACTAAAGAATCTTTAAGTACCAAACAGAAGATATGAAGACAAAACTCGATGTTCACACAGGCATTACCATTTAGAAATCTAAACCAAACCTTCCAGGCCTTCTTTTTCTTCCCCAAAGTAACTTTTGGGAAACGTTACCTAGATTCCTCAAACTGGAATAATAGGACTAAAACTGAAACTTTAATTGAGAGACCAGCCTAAGAGTTTTTTACATTTCAATTTTGTTTTTAGACTGATTTTCTACACAGCATATCCCCAGAATTACTTGATGCGACCACCAATCTAGGCCTGATGCCCCTAGTGACACATACCCCGTCCCCTGAAAGACAAACATGGCACATGGACAGGTTATGGGATTGGCGTGATGTATTCAGCTAATTAGTATCACTGTTTTTAATCTTTAAAAAACTCAACTTATTTTTAAATAATGTTTTAGAACATATTACACTCATCTATTTCAATTGTGCAACTAAGAATAGACTAAAGATGTACATTTTACAGAAAGAAACGATTGCACATTGCATAAAAAACTGTGTATTTCTAAAGTACTTTAAAATCCTGTGTCACTGTCACTAATATTTACGTAATGTGATACTAAATGCCTTTATACATATACCGTGATACAGAAATGGACACTAGCAAACATTTTTGTGTCTGTTCAGTGACATCCAAAAAAAAAAAAAAAAAAATTCAAGCAAACACACTGGCAGTTACTGCTATACTGTTCATAAGGTGACAGTACAGTTTGTGACCAAACTTTTATTTCACTACCCATGCCCTATTTGAGACTTCAGTGTTTAACTTTCTTTTAAAACATTTTATGCAAATGATATTTTCCTGTGGTAAAATATACTCACTTTAAATTATGGGGTTCAATATGGGGTTTAACAAATGTACTGACCCATATAACCAACATGACAATCAAGACAGGACATTTCCATTGCTCCAAAAAGTCCCTTTGTGCTCCTTGCAACTGATTCCCTCCCCCACACTTTGGACCTCTGGAAATTACTTGTGTACCTGTGTGGCAGTACTGCCTGTTCTAGAATTTCATAAAAATGGAGCCCTACAGCATTTTGGAGATGAATTCACACTACTGTACAGATTAGTCCGTTCCTTTCTCTTGTAGAGAAGTATCCCTTTGTGTGGATGTGACACAATCTTTTCATCCATTCTTGGTGTTAAAATTTAAGAGAAACGTACTAAATTACAGAAAAGTAGGACAAAGGAGAACCAAAACAACAGAGCAGATAGGAAAATATTTTTAACTGGTATTATAATCCTGCTGCAATGTAAAATGGCTGTCAGGCTATGTGACATGGCGCCATTTAGCCTGATAAACTAGGAGAGTGAACCCCAAACATTTGTTTTCTGAAAGGCAATCCCATGGTAAAGGAGATGCTACACGTAATGCTTTAGTGGAAAAGAGGGCTCTCTACTTGTAACATTACCTGAACCCAGGGTGGGAGACAAAACTAGCTCTTATATGTATTTCTGCTCCAAAACCTGGAAGAGGAACACCTCACAATTGGTAAAGATTGATAATTAGTAACTTTTTAGTATTTCTAAGCAAATCAAGTCAAATGTTGGAGGAACTCTATAAATTCTTCCAAAAATCTAAAACATGTTAAGAAGATTAGAAATGTCAAACTTTCTGGGAAAAAGGAAAGCTGAAGTAGTGTGGCAAACCCTGCCTAGAAATGGGGAAAGCTTAACTTTCTCTTGGCCATTCAGCTGACGATTCTGGAACATACGGTCTTTTTTTTTTTTTTTTTATGTTTTATTTATTTCTAGGAGAGAGAGAGAGAGAGAGAGAGACAGCGTGAGGAGGGGAGGGTCAGAGAGAGAGAGAGAGTCACAGACTCTGAAACAGGCTCCAGGCTCTGAGCTGGCAGTCAGCACCGAGCGTGATGCGGGGCTCGAACCCACAAACCGCGAGATCACGACCTAAGCGAAAGTAGGACGCTTAACCGACTAAGCCACCCAGGCGCCCCTTTTTTTTTATTTTTTAAATAAAGTAAAGCATCAAGGCTTTTTTTTAAAATGTTTGTTTATTTTGAGAGAGAGAGAGGGAGAGAGAGACGGACGGGGGTGGGGGTGGGGTGGGACAGAGGATCCAAAGCAAGTTCTGTGCTGACAGCAGCTAGCCCAATGGGAGGCTAGAACTCACTGACCACAAGATCATGACACGAGCCGGTCAGGACGCTTACCTGACTAAGCCACAGCCAGGTGCCCTAGAACATACTGTCTTTACAATATTATACTGGCTTTTTTCAAAAGCACTTTCAGATATAGTTATGATTATTCTTACTTTTCAGACACAAAAAAAATATGAACTGACTTGCTTAAAGGTTGCATAACCCAGCCAACCACACAATTCCTAAGCTTATTTTGAGGCAGAACAAAAGTTACTCCATCTTTACTATACTTCTGGTAAAGCATCACAATTTTGCCTTCCTGGTTCAATTAGAAAACTTTAAAGCTCCATATAAAAATACTGTAATTGAGCAGAATCAAAATGTGTTTCCTTCCATTCTACTGGTCAAGTAATGATTATTTTAACTGAAGAGGAAACACAATAAATACAAGCCAGCAACCCACTGAAAATGTATTAATTTCATGTGCATGGGTACACATGTACACACACACACACACACACGGGCTCTGTGATGCAGCGAAACTGCATTTGTCATTTATTTTCATGAGGCCACTCTCAGAAGCAACCAGAATACCACTGGTCAGATTAATCTATTAATATCTACAAAGCTTTTGTGTAATGAAGTTAGGTATAAATTTAGACATACTTTTATCAAAGTTTTTGACATTACTGTTTTGGTATAAGAATATATGCTCTTGTCCTTACAAATATATTCTGATAATCTTTATTCCTGTGAATAAAGGTGAAACTAATAGTATCATTCTCTTAGAAGTCCTAGTTGCTTTGTACCTCTACAGCATATATTTATCTCACTTTTTTCTTTTTCTTGGAATGTGTATTCCTAACCCACAACTGATTTACTCAAAGTTCAGAGCTTTGTGAACTGTAAAAACAGTAATTGTTACATAGTTATGACACACGAAATGTGAAATAACTATATCTCTTATGTATTCAATGGTAAGCTTGGATTTCTAAAATATAACAACATCTTTAAAGAGTCAACAGACTGAAGGCCTTGAATATTTCATTTTCTGGACTCTTACTAATTAATGTAAAATCAGGTATGATCTTGGGACCTTCTACTTATAATTTTTCTTCTCTATATCGAGTTTTTAAAAGTATTTTTCTTTGCATTACAATATTGTGAAAGGATCCCAATTTTGTAACGCAAGAGATGAGCAACAGTACCATGATACGCCTACTTCAGGTCAAGAGGGAGTGATTGAAGGTAGAACACCAATCCTGGAAAGGTATAATTTTCACAATTGGCTATTTCCAAAAAAAAAAAAAAAAAGTTACTTTAAAAGTAGCAATAGACAAACAATACATGTTCACTGTCATCCTTTTATTCTATTTGTAATTCTTTCCTGAACTGAACTAGGATGCTAATTTTTTATATGGCACACACATATGTACACACATAATCCCAAAACAGAACTACTGCCCTCCCATGATAAAATATTCTAACAATCCAATAATTAAATAAACTTTCCAATTTCTTAAAGATTTCTTTTGTTGTACAGTCAAAATAAACCTGAACGTCAACATATTCGGTAAGGCTGTTTGAAACCAAGCAAGGCAGGGGACAGATTTACCTAGCACCTTTGTTTAGTGAATAATGACTGAATTCAACTACGTAAATGTTTCTATTCTCCAATTTACATACTCATTTTACAAGGACCTTAAAAAATGATTAAGTAGACATCTACTGTATAAGGCCCAGTAACCCTTTTTCTTAACACCCTGACTTTGATTTTATTATTATTATTATTATTATTATTT